CCAGAAATATAACAAAGAAGATATCTTCCCTTCTAAGCATGCTACAATGATAAGAATGGTGTCAAACTATACATTAATATTGTAGAATCCATTTAAATAGGTCTTTCATAAAAATAATTTTCACTTTATTGGAGATTATGTATTTCTAAAAATGGCCACGAGAAATATAACAATGATGATATCTACATCAGTGCATGCTACACTGATACGATTGGTGTCAAAATTTTATATTTATGGGGAAGGAGAATCAATTTCATTTTAGGTCTTGAAAGATTATAGTTTTCACTTTATATTGGAAATATATATGCAGCTGAAAATATAACAAAGATTGTATCTTTGCAAACAAAGATTGTATCTTTGCTAACAAAGATTGTACCTTTGCTAACAAAGAGATTGTATCTTTGCTAACAAAAATTGTATCTTTGCCATACGTTTCTTTGCTTCTGGGCATAATATTTCATAAAATTGGCTTCAAAATCTACATTTTTGGGAATGTAAAATCTATTTAATTAATCAGTTGCAAGTAGGTAGTCACCATTTTCCCCGCCAGGTGGTTAATTTGGGTGAAATAAGATTACAGGGTATTACAAAGTTCCCTTAAACTTGAATATTCTTGATTTTTAGTGGTTCACATTTTATATTACTCTTTTTTATCTGATAGTTGTACAAAGTAAAATATCTCCAGTAAAAGAAAATATTATCTGCACAACACAAGAAAAGATATTTCACTTTTTATGTTTTACAACATGGGGAATCTCCTGACCTAAATGTCACATTTTCGAAGAAAAATCAAATTTAAAGATGATGGACTCAATTCAAAATAACATTTCTTGATGTATTTTTTCATGACGATTCCAAATTCAACATCAGTTAGACTGAATTTTGAATTTCTAATGACAAAAATGTAGAGTGCTACTACTCGCATCTAGCTAATTGGATTATGAGCCTTAAAAATTATCGTTTTCGCCTAACACAGCAAATGTGTATTTATCTTTCAATGTTCTTTTTACTCAAATTCAACAGAAAGACCAGAGTCTCTTTAATAACTTGCAATTAACATATATCTGCAATGGTAGTGCAACTTTAGTTGTTGCAATGAAACATACATAAGAGAGAAATGTGATAGATAGAAACCATGCAGGACAGACATACATATGAACCTATTGTTAGAAAGGGCCAGAAACCTTCTGATATAGCTTAAGAAACCAACATTCTTTCAATATACCCTTCTGCAGACTTAACACTAATTACAAATCGTTTCTTCCAAATGCCATTAGAATATGGAACAACCTTGAACAACATTTAGGAACATTGGTTATCTCCCTCTATTTAAATATAAACTTAAACATTCTATTTGCAAAAGCAAAAATAAACTTTACTCATTAAAAGCCAGCAAATCTGCAATTAATCATGGGAGAATACGAATGGGTCTCAGTGCTTTAAACCATCAACGTTTCTCTTACAACCTCATAGACTTCAAACATTGTGCTTGTGGTTTCGCACAAGAGACACCACTTCATTATTTTCTTGACTGTCCTCTCTATGTTGCCCAAAGAACAACTCTTTTCAGGGAATTAGGGAACATAGCCGTAACCAATAGACTTAATCTTCTCAATCATATTATCCATGGAAACAAAGATTCTTCATTCATTGACAACTGCACTCTATTTAATCATGTCCAGACATTCATCAGAGACACTCAGAGATTTTTATAACCATATAAAACTGTCTAACCTATTGCATGACATCTCAAAATTTTATATGAAGACCCCTAGGGGATGTAACCCCCCTATCACACCAAACTAGTTCTTACCCGTTCTTGCCAGTCCTACGAAAACGTCGTAAAACGGGCTCAATCTGGCTGTGGTCGGGAAATATGTCTGAAATAATTAGCTTCTTCGTTCTTAAACAGTCTTCATTACGTCCATCTCGTTCGCAGTTCGTTCAGGTCGCACCACATCGGGGTGCAACGTCGTAGAACGCGTCCCTTAGTCTAGAAGGTCAACATGACCTGATGACAGAACGGTATGGTCGCCATCAAATTTTGAATCGATTCAAAATTCTAAAATCACATTCCCGTCTGAGAACGTTCATAAAGTTCGTAAATAGACCTTAGAAAGTTGCAGCTACGTTCATTTCGTTCGCACACAGTTTAAAACCAGTTTTGAAGAACGCAGTGGCAACTTGCTTTGTGTGATAGCTATATTTTTGCTATCTCGTTCGTAAGCAGTGTTAAATACGTTCTTAATCAGTTTAAACCCGTTTCCAATTAGTTCTACCTCGTTCTCAACACGTCCTCAGACAGTTCAACTCGTTGTTAAAACGTCCCTAGTAGGACTGAAGTACGACGGTTCCGTTCGTAGAACGTCCAGCTCGTCGTTAGTACGTTGTCACTCGTTCTAATTGTAGAACGTGACGACCACGAGAACATTTTGAGCATGTTCTAAGTTTTAGAGGACCTACCCGTTCGAGTACGTTCGATGAAGTTTGTAAATAGATCCCAAACGGTTCTTATAGCTCCAGTCCGTTCGTACACAGTTGAAGCCCGTTTTCGAGAACGTAGTGAGAACTAGTTTTGTGTGATAGTAGGGTAATAGTGTAAACTGTAAACCCTGGGCTAAATAAAATGATTTAAAAAAAAAACTTCTGGCGAGAGAAATTCTTGAAGATCGGAATAGATTTCAAGGGCTATATATTATGACAGTAATGGAGAACCCTCTTCATCTCTTCTGACCAAATCATGGACGATGTCTGTTTACCGAGTCTTCAACTAATCCAACCAACAAACTATTAAGCGTGTTGTTGATTGGCAACCATTTTGAAAAAGACATGTATGTATACACATACAGCACTGAATATTGTCATATTGAGAAAATTATTCTTATTTTCCCTATTGAACATTTAAGAGATTACGATTTTAAGATTTTAAACGGCAATATGTCTTTCACCATGAGTACTTCCTGGCCATAAATATAGTGTTTCACCATATGCAGACAGAGCCTGTGGGAAATATTGGGTGCGGCGCAAATGAGCGGAGGGTGCGGAGCTAACGGTCATTTTTGAATTTAAAATTGGGATATTTCTGAAACTAAGCCGTTTTGGGACTTCAAATATACCAAGATATGTGTATTTGACACCAAATATCAATAAAATTGTGAAAATAGTAGTGCAATTCATTTTATAGCGACGCAGTATGCCTTAAACATTTCCCAGACCTATATATTTTGAGACTATCCTTTTAATACTGCGTCCCCAGCATTCATAAAAAATGGTGTTCAAGATACACTACCCATGCAAATTATTTTTGCATCTTGGAAGCCAGGCAGTATCTGTGTGATTTTATAAAAATTCGGAAATGTTCTTCAGATATGAGCCCCCTCTAAATATTGGGTGCGGAGGTACGTTTATTTCCAATATAAAGCGCCATCTGGCGTGTGTCTTTGGATAAATTTGTTTCTATGGTCCTAAGGTACTCTCATGTCAAAGGAAACGTTTGCATCATAGATTGAAGTCCAGACCCCCTAAAATGCAGTTAACCCATCTACTAATATCATGAAATTGATACATACATTAAGTCAACATAAGATCACGTATGTTATATCGTTCATTAAATTCATTTCAGTCCGACACTTTAATAGCTACGGAATCCCTTTCTTCTCTTTCTTGATTTTCAAAGAAATGCTATCGCATTACCCCAAAAAGGCAGATCAATGTGGCAATCAAAGTGGCAATCAATGAGGCAATCAAAGGCAAATTGATGTGGCAATTAAAGAAAATCAGTGTAGCAATTAAGGGCAAATCAATGTTGTAATAAAAGGCATTCAATTTGGCAATAAAAGGTGATTAATGTGACAATCAAAGGGAATCAATGTGACAATCAAAGTGGCAATCAATGTGGCAATCAAAGAAAAACAAACGTGGCAATCAATGTGGCAATCAAAGGCAATCAATGTGGCAAACAAAGGTAATCAATGTGGCAAACACAGGTAATCAATGTGGCAATCAACGGCAAATCAATGTGGCAATCAAAGGCAAATCAAGGTGGCAACCAAAGGCAAATTAATGTATTGTATTGCATTGTATTGTATTGTATTATATGATATTGTATTGTATTGCATTAAAATGTATTATATTGTATTGTATTGTGTATGTTAATATATTGTCGATTGAATTTTATTACATTTTATTCTATGACAATGAACTCTACAGGTAAACACAACCTAACCAGTTCGTCAATTTCAAAATAAAAGTACATCCGTTCTGTATTTAGTGCTGAGGGGTGTATTTAATTAATCAATTAACATCATTTTAATGGATTTATGTTATGACTATATTGTCCGTTTGCATGAACAACTTAAAGCCAATCGATGATAGGCCTTTGTTTAATGTCCCACCCGCACCAGCACACAAATGTTGAGGCACATCTTCATTTTGACCAGATGATATATACAAATGTGCATAAAACTGAGAATTGAAACTTAAAATTTCTTATAGATAATAAAATGATTTACTAGATTGAAAACTTGTTACATGTATGGATTTTATGTATCGAGGTCTCAACATTGCACTGATGAAATTTCAGTCTTGGAAAATAAACTGTTCAGAACGTAGGACAGCCCTCGTAGAAATGCATCTTTGCTTTCAAATACCCCAATGTTCAACAGTTAACAAGTTAAACATACAAATGTATATTTAATATTGAGTGGCCTAAATTGAAAATTGTTTCCAAATATATTGCTCGAGGCGAATTCATTTATTGCTTCGATATTACCACAGGATCGTTTATCATTACGATTATTTTTCCATACATCACACGCTATACTTTATAAAAATATAATTTAATGATTAACAGTTATCAAAACTTATGTTTTGGCATCGATATTGTTTGAAAGTCATAAGTTTATGAAATGGAGATTAAATAGATTATTTGGCTGATCGTGTATAGTTTAAGAATAAAAAACTAATTTACAAATACTGAATTAGTAAACAAATATATTATATCAGTACTAGATGTTGAATTAATATCCATGAATATCAAGATGTCTAAAATATATTTCATACGTTGGATTATACAACTTGGATTTATGGTTGCTATGGTGAGAAGCCATGGCAGGTTGCTGGACCCACCCAGCAGGTCGACCATGTGGAGGTTTGGATATGACAATCCGGTTAACTATGACGATAAACAGCTTTACTGTGGAGGGGTGCAGGTATGGTACATAAAGATGAAGGGATGGAGGGGTGTAGGTATGGTACATAAAGATGAAGGAATGGAGGGGTGTAGGTATGGTACATAAAGATGAAGGGATGGAGGGGTGCAGGTATGGTACATAGAGATGAAGGGGTGCAGGTATGGTACATAGAGATGAAGGGGTGCAGGTATGGTACATAGAGATGAAGGGTAGGAGGGGTGCAGGTATGGTACATAGAAATGGAGGGATGCAGGTATGGTACATAGAGATGAAGGGTTGGGGGGGATGCAGCATGTTTTATATGTCTCTGATTTAAGTAATAAAATTGAAAGTGCTGAATTAGGGTTATGCAAAACAAATACTAAACTAATGATTTAAGTAGTCTTGTATCAAGCCCTTTTGTTTCCCCCATTTCCAATCTAGGATGCGTGGTAAAAATGTTTTGTTTGAGAATCTTGGATATGTATTCCAGACTCAATATGAGAAAAATGGCGGAAAATGTGGCGTGTGTGGTGATCCTTATCAAGGTCCTTTCCATAACGAGGCTGGTGGAAAATACGCCAATGGGATCATCGTGCAACAGTATGAAGTGAATGACATCATTAATATCACAGTCGAACTTTCAGCCAATCACAAAGGATGGTTTGAGTTCAGAATATGTCCCACTAACGATCCATATAAAAAAGCAACGCATGAGTGCATGAATAAACATAAATTAGAGATTTTGGATGAAAAAATATTGGCGAGAGTTTCTCGTTATAAAGTCAGGGACCAAATGCAGAAAATATTCCAATTAAAGTTGGTATTGCCGAAAGGTCTGAGGTGCAGTCAGTGTGTACTACAGTGGAAATATAACGCAGGTAATACATTTCAATAAACTGCCAATTAAGCTGCCATCATTCCCGTACTATGATTCGCTAACATCTATGTTGGACATCATAAACAAAAAATGTAAGCATTTAACATAAATCATAGGCATCCAAAAGCAATATTTCTAACTCTCTGTAACTAACAATAAATGCAGCTCATATGTTATATATATCTGATGATCATACCTTTTAATTTTGAAGGGAACTCTTGGGGAAACGACCCTGTGACAAATCGAGGCTGTGTAGGATGTGGACCCCAAGAACAGTTCTACGGTTGCAGTGACATTAGTATAGGCAGGGATCCAGTCACCCCTATTCCCCCACACTTAAGAGTGACTGATAAACCTACCACCCCTTGGTGGGAAATAGCCGACATTTATGGATCACGTGATAGGAATAATCCATATGGGGTAACACCATTCCCCTCAAACAAAGCTTCCAGACACCAAGTAGCAGTAACTACGGCAATATTCGTCATTTTATTTGACTTAGATTTACTTATTAATGGGATGTAGGGCGGATTGTAAAACCAAATCAAAGATGATCTTAGCATAAGTGGTTAAAAGGTATGGGTATTTAAATCTTTGGTCTCATTCGTATGCGTGGCATTGAGATTCGAACATATTTGTTGCAGAGAAGTAAAAGCGTCAAGTTATATTCATGTATATAACTGTTTGGATTCGAAGTGAGATTCAAAAAGGGTTAGCAGTGAAAAATAAATCTCAATATGAGAACCTATCGCTATTGGTATCAAATTTTAGTAAGCACAAGTGCCAAAGGGCGAGGACCAAAACTGTAAAAAGGCCTAGCAAGAAAAGCAAACTCTGTGTGTGAACCTAGACCCTCTACAGGAGAACCCAAAACCATGATCTCCAATCGAGAACCAGTATCACAATCGAGGACCAGATCATCAAGGGATATTTCATTCATACTGAAGTTATTAAAATACATGTTGAAGAAAAAATGATAGCAAATTCTCATAACATCAAAACAGTTTTAGATAATAGATCTCATTAAAGATAAATACACGTCGCACGAAACTGGGGACAATTAGAGTAACATTATGGCGTCAAAATACCAAAACAATACAATGGGCAGTATAGGGCGCAATCAGCATTATAACGTCAAAAACGACAAGCGTTACATTTTGTCAAGTTTAGTCAACCTAAAAATAAGATGCTTTATTCTTATCCAATCCTGGTAAAATTCACAGAGCAACAAGATCTCGAGGACAATATTTCTAAAATGTTTTTGATTTTTGAAAAACGGTCAGGAAATCCACTCGGGGCGTTAGTAAAAATTGATGTGTATTGGATTTGTGGTAAAAAATCGATGCGTTACATTTTTTCAAGTCTCTAAAAGCAACTCTTAATCTCTTATTATTTGAAAGATAAAGAAATCGGTTATGTTTTGTAAATTTCGCCATGACAATATTGTGCAGTTAAATTTTTTTTGAAATCAGACCTAAATTAGAAGGTTAAATAAAGGTAAACTTATTGCTTGTCTCCTTCGCCTTCAAAACCTTACACAATTTTGAAAATTTTAAAAGCGTTCATATAAGACGATTTGAACTGTAGCCGCTAGGCAATTGTGACGTCATAAAAGCACATGTATCAATGAATAAAATGTGAAATTTTAGTATAATTCTGATCAGTATTTCAAAAGTTATCCCGATTTCAACGAACCATGTAAGCGTGAAATGTTACGCCTTACAGCGTATTTGACGATGTCGGAGTACATTTAACTTCAAAAATATGGTAGATCCCATCACACTTTTCGAGGAAAAATAATTTCAGTGAAATGCGAATAAAAAATACTTCAAAATGATATATAATGCACATAGTTAGCTTTTTAAATAAGCCAGATATTAACGGTTAAAGCTGAAATTAGCCCGTATTTCCCGAATTGTCCCCAGGTCCGTGCACGTCATAAAAGCATTCAGTCTTAAATGATGTGAGATAGACAAAATCCAGTCTCGAATTCCATAAGCAATTCAAAGGTCAACATTCATTCGCAAAGCCATCGCCACATAAAATACATAAATACATAAAATACAATAATTCACAATGGTTATCAAGAGAAAACTTGCCGATTTCGATCCCTATATTCATTCATTCATTCATTCATTCATTCATTCATTCATTCATTCATTCATTCATTCACGATGCTTCGTTACGTGACACACTGGACTATCAGGGGCGGATCCAGGATTTTGTGTTAGGGGGGGGGGGGGGAGGGGGCGTTTGATAATGACTGTGAGCGGAGATGTACATCATTTGGTGCATTCTGACCAATTTCAGAGCGAGAATGGGGGTCTGGGGGGGGGGGTTCTCCCCCCATTAAATTTTGAAAATTTAACATCATTTGGTGCATTCTGACCAATTTACCAGCATGGGTCCGATTCCCGGGTCTGTTTTAATCGTATGCAATGGGTTATTGATAATCCATAACCATTTATTTTGATTTCCAGTTAAAATTCTGCCTTTTTAGTGGGGGCGTGCGCCCCCCCCATGCCCCCTCCCCCTAGATCCGCTGGTGACTGGCTCATGCATGAAAGTATTGTAGGCTTAATGATTGTAGTAAAGAGATCTATAATTAATTTCACAACTTACTCATGGTTCAAGACAATCATCAAAATTTGTTGCCCGAACTAAGAAATGTGAGGAAAAGATTTTAGCAGACCAGAAAATGTGATGATAAAGTAATGTCGAAAGAAAAGAGTATTTCTATTTTTTCAGTTTTTTCTATCAACAGGATCAAAACTATCAAAGTACATCAGATATGGAAACAAATGAGCCTTAATTAACATATCCGATTTCAGTATTACAAGACCATTGTTGCCCGATTTATAGCAAAACCATTGACTTTTGCACGTTGGTGATGATGCGCCTTTTTTAATAGATCTCATATCTTAGAAGGGTATCAGTTCAAAAAAAATACTAGATGACCTAACATATTTTGCCATGCACTGCGCCTATTCATTTGGCAATTCAGTTGTAAATTTTCTCTTGAAAAAATAAATCTTCCAAATTTGTTGAGTTTTCTTGCAGAAATCGGCTAATCCCCCCCTCCATCCATTTTGTACGATCACCGGGCGTGAAAATGGATTAATAAACTTATGAATTAATAGAAAAATTAAAAAACAATTGGAAAATACTTTGGAAACAACCGTTTAAGAGTAAAACATTTTGGGCCACCAAAAATAGGGGGTGATTAAAAAATCAATTAAATAAATATAATAAAGTTGTATAGATCTGCAATTGCAAGTTGTGGTTTAAAAAAATCATCATTTGAAAAATCCTTACTGGTGAAACTAGGCCCAAATTGTTTCATGAACACTGGGGAATAAACGATAATAAAGTGCTGTATGAATTATAGGAGACGCTGTTGGATATAAAGTGTGATTGTGCTCGACATATGACACTAATGAACAAAAGTAGTATGTTTCCTCAACAAATTACATGAGGTGAAAAAGGTTTTGACAACGATTTTCAAAACAAAGTTTTTATTACAACCATACACCCCTAAATGTGGAATAGGTGGCGTCACTTTAAGAATAAAAATAAGATAGAAGTTGTCACTTTGGGTACCATCTCCATTGTTCATGATCCTCTAAAATATGTCAACTAAACATTTATCAACTCAAATTCAATCTAATTTTTTAAAAGAGAATGGCCTCAGCTGCTGAAAAAGCCAAAACCCAAGTTTAAAGATGAATATCATATAGTATTTTGAAGAATATCATTTTTATCTTCGAGGTGATATTGATATCTGCACGAGAGAGCAAAGCGAACGAGTGTATATGCATCAATATCACCGAGTAGATTTAAATGATATTCTGAAAAAATCATAGGATGTTCTTATTATCCTAAACTTACAGGAGTATACTAAATGTAAAATATCATTGCAAAATGAATTTCATGCCAAATAGAGTCAAAATGGCGGGAAATCAACAAGTGGAGTATATTGTCACAATATCCTCCGCATATTGGAGTTTCCGGAGTATATCGCCACGATATCCTCCGCATATCGGTTTTCCGGAGTATATCGTGGCGATATCCTCCGGTTCTTTATTTTGCCAATAGATATCACATTTTTTTATTGTTATTATACATTTAGCACACTAAGTGTTGGATAATATAATATGTATATATGTATGTTATACGTGTGTGATATATAATATAAGAAGAAGCATTCGGATTTATTAGGACAACAAAAATATCCAAGTCTCCGAAAACCATAGTTTTGGACCCCATTTCGCAAAATATATCCCATGTTATTTTCCATTGTTCATAGCCTAATTTGTGTTACCAAATTTGATATCCTCCAAATTAGACATTCAACTTCATTCTACCTTAAATGAAGTTATTGATCTCTAGTAGTATATTTATGCGATAAAAATGAGAAACTATCCTTATTTTAGAAAATAAGTCCGACATTTAAAAAAATGTTAATGTAGGGTCTTATCCATGTTTTTCGGAAAGTCAGATTGGTATTGTTATAATCCCGAGGACCTCACAAGAAGGAAAACCTATTTTTGTGATATGTCGTATATTAGGTAAGAGAATGCTCATGGTCAATCATGAATATAATGGTCTAAAACCATTCTCCATACCATACATGGTCTTTTTAGTCCAAAACAAGATATCTTTTATAATACACAGAATAGCATCACTTGCTGTATAAAGCTGTCGCAGTTGTATTGACTCAAGTCAATAATTTCATTTTATCAACAGTATATAATTGTTGACCTCTCCAGAGGTCAAACGGCAAAATTGTATACCGAGACTGTAAACCGAGAAACTACTGTTGACAGAGACCGAAGGTCGAGGTCAACAGTAGTTTCAAGGTTTACAGTCGAGGTATATGATTTTGACGGTTGACCGAATGGAGAGGTCTACAATTGTTTTGTTAGTCCGAAGAAATTAATAATACACATATAGCCGACAGTCATCAATCATGGCTTCATTTCACAATCTTTTCTTCGAACCACGCCAGCACTTATTTTTTAAGAAAATCTGAAGACAGTGGTAGCTAGACTCTCTGTTTTCGGCACATAACCGCGAACTCACTACGTTTGTATTCGTATTTTTGCTATACTCGTCGTCTAGCAAGGTCAAAATAACACTCGTTAATCAACGTTTACAAAATGGCCGTCTACACCTCTTTCTGTAAACATTGTGACGTCATATTCCCCATAATTCACAAGTGTAGTACAGTAACATACGCGGTCAATAATATGATATCCCATGATGCACAGGTGAGGTACAGGCAAAAATGTTGACCGCTAATTGACCAATCAGATGCGAGTATTTACACTGAGGTACTAACAATGTGAATTATATCAGTCTGTCCCAACTGTATACCTCGGAGCAGATTAGTTTTCTTGACAAACACTTAAAAAATGATGGGGTCAAAATACTCCATTAGACACATTGAAAATATTACAAACACATAACTGTTTTTGTGCCTTGAGGTGTTCACCTATGATCAATAGGCAATAAATCATGCAAAGCTCGTCAGAGGACTATTACTAAGGAAACTTCATCATTGAACAAAATAACAAGGTAAGTGACGTGTAATTTTAGTCACATTAATATTTTTATTCTTAGTAAGTATAATTTCCTTAAACTGGAATTGAATATCACAGTAATGTTATGATGATGAGCTTTTCGTGCAGTGGATATAGAACCCGTATCATACTTTTCGGATTAGAACTTTAAAATTGATGAACAATTGATAGATTTGATGTCGGCTTGAGACACGTGACAGTTAAAGACTAGCTTACAAAATTATTTTGAATTAAAATTTAAACAACGTAAAAGTGAGTCTACATATATCGATGGAAGTTTATCTAATCAACAATCTCTTTCTGAAAGTTGAGCACGCGCAAAAAACGAGAAAATAACATTTCGCATAAATTGTTCAAATAATTGTTTGCAATTCCACATAGTTTGGCAGGCAGAAAGAAATGTTTTAAGATACATGAACTGTATATTTCTCGTCACCAAATTTGCATCTATATTGTTTGATGATTAAAATTTGGGCAATTCTAAAACTTCCCCTATCATCATAGTGTACGGCACATTTTCAGCATACACCAAAATTATTTCAAACAACCCCACCACATACAAGCTAAAAAGCTTAGCTTGCAGTTTTGGTCGAAACTTTTGAAATATTTTACAGTAGTCTGAATTTGTGATTTCCATCGGTTCCAGATGAGGTGGGGTGTTGTGTTTCTGGTGCTGTTTGCAGTAGCTAGAGGACAAGATGCAGATGTGGAGGAAGATCTAGGTGAGCCAAATGATTCGCAAACGACCAACCGATTCCCTTCGCAATATAGCAACACTGAATATTATATTCACGTTGATAGAACTGGGCAAAAGATCACATGTTCTACAGTGCGTGTGATCACAATGGCGGTGGACACATATCGCCAAAGAAAAGCAGCTTAGAATCATTGTATATAGCTGCAAAGTACTTTGATCATCAAAATAGATACAGATTAAAAAAAGTGACGGTGCTTTAGGCCGACCCAAATTGATGATCACTCAAACATGTTCTCAGTGATAGCGTCTGGATACGTTGAGATCATTAATTCAATCGATGAAGATTTTCGAAATTCAAATGATACACATAGGGGTGACTAACCCCCACCCACACTACTTTCACTCCTGCTGCAAGTAAAGATAAACGTCTATATGATTGGTCTAATAAGTCTGACGTAAATATCGTCATATCATCAGTGCTGATCGGTCGAAAAATATATCGATCATCAAGCTAAGAAACAAAATGGCCGATTCAAAATTTGTAGGAACAACAACATGTTACATTCTGGCCTAACACACAATTGTGACTTGTTATTTTAGACAAGACAAAGAAAGATGAATAAAGGAGTTATTGTTTGGATAAGTTGATAAAAAGGCTGACAGAAAAACTCTCGAAAAACTATTATTGTATGTGCTTATCCTATAGAATTCCTGGTAACCTCCATTTTTAGGCCGCTTACGATAGAACAATTAGGCCCCACTTCAATCTTGCTTACACATTCATCGTTTTCTTTTTAAGTGCCCTGACTATATTATTATTTTTTTATTTTAGGTTTCGAATTGACTGACGAACAAATTGGTAAGTAAAATCAATTAAGTTATCTCATTGATGAATGTTAGCAACTGGGATTTGTTGTGAAAGCCTGTCCCGGAAAGTCCGGTAATGTTTACAAAATTCTCACAATTCGGGCAAAATGTAGACAAAATGGCTCGTGCGGGCTCGTGTGCTCACGGCTTAGTGATAATCCATATTAATAGGCACAAAAGTAATCTCAGCAAAATCAGCCCAGACCCATTGCTTTGTGTAGCATTTGTATCGTGTCTGTCATTGTCGGTTTCTCGTCTTCCCAGCATAGAAAGTATCAGTTTAACAAAGACACTTATTCACGATCCTTAACTTTTTCAGCCCAATGTGGTCCGACTGGTTATTTTGCTGATCCTGACGATTGCTGTAGGTTCATTCAGTGCGATTACTACAATGAGGGTGATGAGAATTTCACTGTAGGTCACAACGTTGCTTGCATGGGGGGCTCCGTATGGAACTCTGTGTCGTGCTCATGCGAAGAACCAACGGAAGGCGGCTCATGTGACCCAACCACATGCAATGGTGAGTTGAACATAATGTTTTAAAGAGGTAAATACTATGAGTGTGGTTAATTATCCGACTGGTTAATTTGCCAAATGGTCAAATTTTATCATTTTCCTAATCTTAATTTCCTAATGACAAGAAACTTCCCATTGGATAACATTATGAAGATAATATTTCCGACATTTAATTTTCCGAACCTGACAAAATTAGGCAAAAGGCAAATTAAATGATTAGACAAAATTACCAATTATACAGTAATGGGATGCGTCGGCTAAGAAATGTGTTTGCTATCGTGTGTATGGTTTACAAAAAATTTAATTCTTTTTGTAATTGTATTCTTTTTTTCAGTTCCTGAGTTTATCGCCACCCCCTGCCCAACAGCTGGTCTTGATGCAGGTTAGTTTAACTGCCATCTTCTACTCATTCCCGCATTTTGCAAGTGCAACTCATAGATAAAAACTCCGATTGTTGGAGATGACGTGTGAGTACATCACTGTGTTTCTTGCACTGAACATTCTAGTGACTACTAGTACACAAAAAAAAGATTCCTTCATTTTTGTTGTTGTATTTGTAGTGTTATCAAGTTGTTAACGCCAAGAGAATAAGTAGACTTGTACATAGTCTTAACTTCATTCTTAACATTTTCACGTCTTAATTTGTAATTAAAAAGAAGAAAGGCATTTACCATTTCATGGCCATGATTTTTAAGTCGTTCGTGTTCATTGACTGTTGTTTTTCTTTATTTTCAAGATACTGCCAACTGTCTGTTATGAATAAAGGATACATTGTATTAAGATGTTGATTTCAAATTTTCAGATCAATGCTGCATTGATGGAACAATTGTGAACATAGTTAACGACACATCCTATTATCTTGCAAGCGAAGGGCCCGATTTGGTCCAGACGTGTCCATACGAACTTCTCTTTGATTTCAACGACTGTTGCTGCGATGATGAACTTTTCGAAGGCAGGCATTATATTTTGTTTTTACTATTTCTATACAAATAATTTTGCAAAATGTAGTTGCAAAGGTGCTAAAGACGTAGCTCTATAAGGCTTTTAATCTTACGATTGCTCGGGAAATGACAACTTCGCCAAAATAACATGCAGGTTTTAACAAAAAGGGACACTCGCTTTTTAGAGGTAAGGGTGGGTTCATAAACATAATGAAATGATGTTTCCTTCGGTCCTTAATACCAATTGTTCCAGATATATCATTGCTTATTAAGAAGTGAATTGCCTTTTGAAATTTAGAAAAGTCCGATTCGCAAAGTTCAATTAATGCAAACATAAATGCTGCTTTTTACTAATACCCCGGACAGACATAACTACATCATTGAACCTGTCCGGGGTACTGTGTAAGTCATTTCAAGTTCTGATATGTCCATGTAAAAACAAGGTTTGCACCAAAATGTATTAATAGAGCAAGTAACTGTAATAGATTATTCTAAATGAAACAGTATATTTTGAATCAGAATTTGGATCATACAGTGCCTTTTATTCCTCAATTGTCTTTATACGCCACCTTTATACGAGGGGATCATTATAGTTTCTAGCTTGAAAGAAATGTCGAAGTCCCTTAACCATGTGCTTGATAATTAAGACACTGCGGACACACTTTATATCTGATTAGTTTTGAGGTTGAAGTGTAGAGCATGACCTAAGAAAAGACACCCGAACGCATATTTGGGAATTCGATCTCAATACATCCGTGGTTAAGGATTAAAACAATGTTCATATACTCGTCTTGTTTTGACAGGTCTTCCACCCATGTGTGACCATTATACCCTTGATGACATACCATTTGCCGATGAAGGTGTCATTGCCAGTGGAGCGACTCTCATTCAGCCAGGTGCGGCCGGGTCAGGTGGTGGTGCCGGTTTTGCAGCAGGAGCAGCTGCCGGTGCTTCTTCTGCTAAACTGCCAAGATGGTCCAACGTTGATTTTGGAACCGGATTCGCTACTGGATTTTGGGTGAAGGCTGAAGGGTCAGGAGCATCAACGGTATTTCACAACGGAGATGCGGGTGGTCTTGGAGCTACTGTATCTTTCGAAGTAACACAGACATCTGGTGGTGGATACGCCGTATCTGGAGGAGTGTTTGCACAGGATGGTGCATCTGATTTCTACCAGGAAACCAGTGTTAGTATAATCTATACTAACTATACTAATGAAATGACAAAAATGCAACCGTCTTTAAAAATGTTATCATTTATATTCTTATGAAAACATAATCATGATGATCAAATTAATGAATTACAGGGTGTTAAAAAAAACCGCAACCCAAAGAAATTGCTATATCTTGAAAAATACTAGTTCAATTATTTCATTTTTCAGGAAAGAAAGAAGAGACTGTGTATGTATAGCTCCTGTAGTTGGTTAGTTGTAAAACATGATGCATTGGACACCTGCTCAAAAGACAGTTGTACTAGGAAAATACAGAAAACCGAGTCAGGGCTGACTGCAACCGTAAAAAAAACTAAATAACTTCCTAGCCATAGTGTTTTGGCTCTTCAAATTTGGCACAAATCATCTTCATTCACTGTATGGTAAATCTGTAAAGTGAAATTAAAATCACAGGGACTTTACAGTTATGGTCGAAATGCTTTCAAATCTCAGTCAAACGCCCTGGTTCATGCAGACTCCAGAAGGCATTTTGACCATGACTGTAGAGTCCCTGAAGTGATTTTGATGAAACTCCACAAATTCACCACACATTGAATGAGGATAATTTGTGCCAAATCTGAAGTGCCAAAACACTATGGTTAGAAAGTTGTTAGGTTTTATTGCTGTGGCGTCACCTCTGACTGTGTTTTTCGTATTTTCCTAGAACAACTGTCTTTTGGGCAGGTGTCCAATGCATCATGTTTTACAACTTACTAACAACAGGAGCTATACATACACAATATCTTCTTTCTTTTCCTGAAAAAATGAACATAATTGAATAAGTATTTTCCAATATATAGTGATTTTCCATTCACGTTTTTCGTATTTTCCATGTTCGACTGCCTTTTGAGCAGGTGTACAAGACATCATGTTTTACAACTAATTAACAACAGGAGCTGTTCATACACAGTCTCTTCTTTCTTTCCTGAAAATATGAACACAATTGGATAAATATTTTCCAAGATATATCGATTTCTTTGGGTTGCGTTTTTTTTGAACACCCTGTATTTATTCCCGGATTTTATGTATGTGTATTTTAGTGGTCGCAAGGTTCATGGAACTTCGTGGGCGTGTCTTACAATAATGGGGATCTGAAAGTTTATATAGACGATAACGAAGCAGTTGAGGTGGTCGAAGCAGGTAAGCCATCATTTCTTTTTTCTATGTTCCATCTGGTTGACATGTCCACTGGTGTTTATATCTAACTTTCAATTAACTAACTAACTTTAATTCAATAGTTTGACATTGGGCAGAAACTTGGTACTTTATCTTGCTATTATACTGCCTAACATTATAAATTGTACTTGAGACTACAATTTATCTATCCCACGTCATACTCCATACAATAGGGAGGTTAAGATAACTTTTGTAAAAACTTTTACGTGAACGTCGTAGAGTTATGGTCCTCTGTGGATAAGTTCTCCCATTTGTACTGCTTGCGTGGCCAATTGAGTATTAAGGTAGGCTTACATGGGAAATAATTGTAATTTGGTTCCTGGAAAAGTGAATTGAGAGCGGGACAGTAATCCCGGGGGTCAAAATATTACACTTTAGGGTACAGGTTCTCTTACAAACGTGTAACTTAACCTTCCTATTATTTTCGGAGTACCAAATAGTATTTCGTCGAATTACTTTTGTTGTAAATAGTACAGGTGCCTTTCTATTTTAATTGCTCATGAATTTAGTATGAGTGAAATGCCTCGCTGTCTTTCGGGTTTGGATTGTAGTACTGACTTCTGAATAGTGATGGAGGAGGGGGTGGGGTCATCATTCGGGGTACTGGGGGTTGTTTTTTCTTTTGATTTGTGCTGTGAATTGTTTTTCTAGTCGGGTTTTTCATTTCCTATTGGTTCTTCATGTTTTGCCACTCGTATTTACTAATATAGTACCTATTCACATGAAATAATGCATTACTAAAATCAATATTCTTTACCAATTCTTGATCACTGACTTTATTATTAACGTGGTTATGTCATACTTTTCACACCACGCAACTGGTGCATGGTCCTGCTTATTAATAGAAAGGTTTCAGGGGCGTAGCCAGCATTTGTCAAGGGTAGATGCGATTTTTTGGGTTTGCATCATTGTAAGCAAAGCGAGTTCCATGAAGGAGGGGAATGGGGGTCCTCCCCAAGAATTTTGCATTTTATATGGTGCATTTTAAGCATTTCAAACTATAATTTGCCAATGTTTTTTCAACAAATTACTATTATCAACCATCGCACCCCCTGGCTACGCCCATGGGTTTCATGCTCAGATTTGGTTTTCCAGAGGAACTGGAAGATGAGCCCGTGGTTAAAATATTTAAATCGGCTGCGGAGGAAGCCATTGAAGCTGTTGACAATGCTGAACAAAGCGTTCGAAGAACGCTCGCTCCAATTGGTGAAGACAGACAAGAAGATAAGGAGAAGATCCAGGACGTCTTAGACTGTATTCAAGAAATTAAAGCAGAATTGGAAGACAATAAGGATTACATTGAAGATATCCAACGAGGTCTAACTGATTTCAGATCTAAGAGGAGAGTTTACAGAAAAGCCTTCAAGTGAGTATATTCAGATCAGGTGAACTATGTCTACCAAACTAAATTAGATAGTAGGGAGTTTAAATAAGCATACACTGTTTTTCACAACCTATTTGAGCGATGCATTTGTATGGGCGATTGGTCATACGTAGAGGTTGGCGTTTCGATTTCATATGCAAGCTTAAACTCCCTATTCAAATTAGTTACCCTCACTGATTTCCCAAGAAATGTTAAATCAGAGTTTAACATCCCCCTAAGCTTATTTTAATAATAATAAGCAGGTGTCCAGAATCCGTACCTCCTTCTTCCCCCTGCCATAACCAATTTGGAGGCGCCCAATTTAACTTAATCACGTGATCTAATTATGCGCAATGACTTATACATGATTTCTGTCGCAGTGTTGCGACAGCCAATCAGATTGCGAGTTCTTAATGGGGGAAATGGTAACTGCTTATCGAAAGAATATATTCTAGATTTTGAAGCCCTGTGATCGGAGGATGGCGTTTTAGAGATGAAGATGATCCATACCTTCTCAATATCTAATGAAAATTGCCTCGATAAATGAGGTATTTATTAATTTTCACTTTTAGCAAATTCAAGAAACCCAAGAGGAGGAATGATGACACCCGTGACGATCTCCAATCGGCTCTCGGTGATGTTGAGGCTGCCTATATTGATCTAAAAGAGAAAGTCGACGAAATCTGTGCTGCTCTCGACAAGGTTGGTTGATTTCCTTTGTGTTATTATCATATCTTGGTTACCGCATATTTGGCGAGCAATACCTCATTGGTATATTCCGTATTTTACGTATTTTACACTCGAAGACAGAGCCAGAAACCCTTCTTTGGAAGAGCCCTGTGTTATTTTGTGTGCACAGGTACATACAAGTTCACAACGCAGACTTTTATACGAGTCGTGAACAAGTCAGTCAGCATTACAGAATTACATAACAGCGGGTGGACTTACTTAAGTTATCACTATGTGTTATCACTTATACATGATATTCAGTAATTTTGAATACACTAAACATTATACGATATAGTCAATCAAAGAAGGTTGCCCTAAATATAATACTGAGCCTAAATATTTTAAATGTCAGTTTTATTAATCACTAAATCAGATAGAACAGAATCAATTCATTATCTAACAATATTCTATATGAATCCTACATCTATATGTTTTTAGGTTTGCAATATTCTTGGCAACAAAGATATCCTCAAACTGCTGGACTCCGGCTCAAAGAAGGATCTAAAGAAATTGAAAAGGAAGTTGAAGAAACTCAAAGGAAAATTCCAAGACGACAACCCATCTGGAGACAAAAAGTAAGTTAGCATGGACGTTAAGTAACATCAATTGAATTTAGGCAATATTTGCTAGAATCATGTTTACTTCAGACGACGACATTTCGTTATTTTGATTATTTGACATTCGATGGGTTGAAACTTGAAACGCGAAAGGAGTCTTCAGATAGCTGCATGTGTATAAAGTAGTTGTATGATCGGTGATGATTCTGCGGCGAATGACAAATACAGGGTGGTCAAAAATGGAAACCCTGCCGCTATTTTACTCATATTTTGGTCACTTTTAGAATATATTCCCTGATATTTGGCACATTTGTGCATCATTCAATTTCATACCAGTGGTTCATATTTCATGACCATCAAACTGACAATATAACAGCACTTAAACAACATGCTCCAGTGGCCACTGCCATGCTGGAGGAAACCTGCAAACGCCGTCCGAAATTTTCCTACCCGACTTCTACATGATGGGATATGCCAAAGACAGAGTGTACGAGAATGACCCCAGGAAAAATGCAAACCTCAAACTCACGTCATTCACAGGTCATACCCTTGAGGAATGCAGTCGGGTCAATTAAAATTTTGAGCGATGTACGCAGGTTTGTACAACAAGATGATGGCGATACCAGGAGCATGTTGTTCAAAAAACGTTAACATTGTGACTATCATTCTAGTGGTTATGAAATATATTAGTATAAGATGGTAGGAAATTGAATGATTTACAATTGTGCCAAATATCTGTGAGTAATTTCCTAAAATGACAAGTATATGAGGAAAATGGTTTCCGTTTTTACCACCCTGTATATAATGCCATCGTGGCATCCATACAAACACACACTGTGCCCTAAGCTGCCACATGCGCAGATGGTGGCTATACCCGTATTTTTACTTGTGGAGACCGGCTTAAGTGTTCACTTTACTTTTTAGTTGATATAAATGCCAACAGCAAGATTTTGATAAGGACCGGACGGTACAATATGTTATGTTAGAGTCGTTGTCTGTTAAACTCATGGACAATTTTTGTTTAGGTTCGGCTTACGAGCGGTAGATGAAACATTCCCACAAGCCCGAAGAAATATTGATGATTATAACAGCAGTGGTAGGAAGAAGCGACAAGCTGGTAAGTAAGCGGCCATTACATTCGGTCGATTTCGCCTCTTTAAAGAGAGCTTAATAACTAGATAATAACTAGACTACACACAAGGTAGTAAGTCAGGAGAACAAAAAATAAAGTTCTTAATTCATAGGTCCCTCCGTGGCCAGTCAGTTTTATTCATGACACTTATGCAAAAATAAGAATAGCACCATTAACTTGTATGAAATTTTAGTAATTGCGTGTAATTTTTTACAGAAGAAGACGATGATGATGAAGATGATGAACCCGTCAAGAAAGATATATTCCCAAGCAAGTTCCCAATCACCTTGGGAGAGGACTTCAATGGATCTCTGGATGAGGTATTCCTATTGCTAAACATTACATGAATCTTTCAGAAGTCATAAGTCATGTATTTATAATTCTGAAGTTTTGCCTTCCACCATTTTCCTGCATTGTAAACATTAAATACCATACTAAGCGTATTGACTCTGCTCTTTGGACAGTAGCACCCTGTAATGCATGCTTATATCGATGAGCAAAATATAGTCCATGGCATGAAATTTCTAGGACGCCTAATAAAGGAGATGGTAACACAAGATAGCGCAGCGTTTGACCTAATATTTACATAGCTTACATACACATGTCCAGTTTCGTTTTGTATCATTGCTGTTCTATATTCTTCTGGCTTTTGGGCTGAATTATGCGTCCCATTAGCAAGGGTAAAAATATAAGAAAAAACGAAATTCCCTTAAATAATTTGAAGTACATACTGCCACAGAAAATAATAAAACAATTTGAGTGTATGTTTTACGTTTCTCAATTATAATTTTACGTTATTTTTCTTAAAAATACAAACAAATAACATAATCAGCACATTAACATTTTGAATTGTTTCTTCAATATCGGTGATGTAAATGATATCCATGAATCGTTTTTATATACGAAGAATATTCGAAAAATTAAACAAAAAAAGAAGCATACAGTGTATAATATGCAATTACACAAAGTTTAGATTAACGTCTTCGGACTTATAAAATGTGTAAGAATGAAAATGTTAACGTTTTTTGAACACGTGTAATGAGAGACACATTTTTCGAACACATTTTTCGTAGATATATTAAAATGAGTCATAATTATGATATCATTCTGAGATTTCTAACACGATGATATGTTTGAAAAATTACAAATTGTGGTTAATGATCCGGGGATTATCGATATCTGGGTCATTGTATCTACTCAGCAAAAGAATGTACATTAGCTGTTGACACACTATTTTATTAATCTTTAAGCATTATAGCCATTATACAAGTGTAGTTATAGAACTAATAGAAACAACACCCCAAAGTTATTCTCCAAACCCTCCCATGCTCTTGCATATTTTTTACTTTTGTTGTATTTTTCTATTTAGAAATTCACTGTGCTCGAATGTGTTATTGCTTGATTGCTTAATCCTAAATGTTAATTAAGTGGCTTTGTGAATTTCACAACCTCTGTTCTCTACACATATCTTGACTTTGTAGGTGTTTGTCTGTGATTTCCCCATCTCCGACGACCAAATGAATGCCATCAGAGAATCCAACACGAATCCTATAATGCCAATGTCAATGTCATAGATATCTTTTGTGTATTTATCAATGATTGAAAATAAATTTTGAATAAATAACATCTGAAATGTTTTGTTACCTGTCCTCGCTCATGTAAAAATAACAGACGTACCAAAACAATTGGAAAGGAAAACATCGAAAAGTGCAGTCGTTGCAAATAAAGGAGATAAATTGCAAAAGCATTGATGTAAATAATGTCGTGTCCATATGAGTCAAGACGCCATTTCGTTTAAAAATGTGAAATTATATGTCACAGCAAAATAAGAGCATATGCAACAATGTTGTCCCAATTGTCAATATAAATATTAAAAGTGTATCTCATAAACACTAATCCACAGTAAAAATATTACGTCCACAGATCTCTTTATTTTCTAAAATCTCTCTTAAGACGACTAAAATGCTCAAAACTAGGATGTGTCACCTGGACCATAAGGGGATGTAAATGTTTGTACCAACACTGCGCCTTTTCACAAATTTATTTTATATGTCCATGTCATTTGAGAAAATGTTTTTTTACAAACGAAGAGGCATTTTTAAAGTGAATTCAGATTTTTAAGTATACGATATACTCTCTTGAGTAAATGTGCCCTCTTAACGTGTCCTCGTTGACACGAATTTTGAACGTGATAGTTATCAGCATGTATGTTCACAAAATATGGATGTCTAATATCCAATACAACATCAACTATAATGGCACTATTGAGCACAGGCTGGTTTGTTTTATAATGCTAGGTGTGTAAATCTGGGAGTCGATATACAATATACCACCCCAAAATGCAAAAGTGAGCGGTCATCGTCGTCACGGCGATTTGAGTATCTTATGATTATAAATGTCACATATGTTTGAATCGCGCACAATGTTTTATCACAGTCCAATAAAAACATCCTGAAATTAGCGGATTATTGGCAATTTCAGAAAATGCAAGGTATCAGTCCAGTGTAAAACGTGTCCAGTGTGACACGTTTTCAAAGCTGTTTATTAAAAACTCCCACGATGCATTTAATTATATTATACTACGCTATAAGATAGAGCCAATATACCTGTTTATAATGTTTATTATATTTTATTTTCATTCTTTGTTAATATAAGATGTTCATGTGCACGTCATTGAGGGATGTTTTTGACGGCCATTTTGAATTTTCGCAAGGTTTTTCTTTAAAAAGTAATATATATATCAATAAATCACGGTTTATTTTCTACAATATAAACGTAAATAAAGAATATCAATGCTTTAATTTCCCCCAAAAAAATCTGAACAAAAAATTAAAAAATCAAAATGGCAACCAGTCTGTCAATAACGCAGGTGCGAGTAGGTAGTTACCAGATTCACCACCAGGTGGCTCGTTCGGGTCAGATAGCATGGCGGGTATAGTAGAAAGTTAGCCTTAACTTAAATTACATTTATTTGCGTTTTTCAATCTTCATATAACCCTTATGTATTTCATAGTTATGCAAATCAAAATATGTCCAGTAAAAGAAAATGTTATCTGTCCAATACAAGAGAAGATAATTCACTTTTTGTGATTTTGTAGCATGGGGTCTATGGGGAATCAACCCGAGCAAGAAGTCACATTTTCCAAAAAATTAAATTTTCAAAGATGATAGACAATTTTCGAAACCATATTTCTAGATGTACTTTTACATGCAGATTTCAAATATGAGATCAATTTGACTGAATTTCGAATTAATGACGTAAATCAAGATTATTTCTACTCGCATCTAGTGTATTCATCTTGCGACTCATTTTGTGAGAATATCACATTAATTTTTATGCTTCTCACAAAAAGCAATGAATACGTCAATATCTGATATTTGTTTCATCAGTCTTTGACATAAGATATCTCAACTAATATAACCAAACGATAACCAAGCATTTTCCATAGCTATTTATGTTACATAGACGTATTTCAATATATCCCCCCCTTGTCATCCATCAACATTAGACAATGGCCAGTTCTCACTTATTCGTAGTCTAGCTACAAGTCCTTGTGACCCCCACTACAACATAAGTTGTGGAAGAAATGTGTTAAATCAAGTAGAGGGGGGTGATAAAATATGCTTGTATATGACCAAATCAATTTTCAAGCTCCTTCTCTATCCAATATATGAAAGGTGATAGACAGTATACTCACTTATTCCAAAAGTTTCCCAATAACATTACTTTAATTCAAGAAGGAACTATTAAGTAGTAACTGTAAGTATACACAGACAGGTAAGCTAACTACAGATGTTCCTGGATCGAAAAAGAAAAACATCCATGCGCGGAATCAAAAGAACAGAGAAAATATTTGTCAGTCGTGTAACAAAAACTATTACGACGGTATGGATCAATTCTTTCTACTGGATTAAGTGACAAAGATGCAATCTGTGGTATCATGAATCCATAGAATTTTCAGGCAAATATGGACAACTCATCAGTGCTAAGACAGATATGTTTTGTTCTAAAACTACACGTATATGACTGGCTCGCATGGCCGTCCCACTGCTGAGTTATGTAATAGACTACTATAAACGGTATGATATTTTGTTCTAAAAAACGTTAAGTTCAAATTCAAAATCAGTTCATATATCCCCATAAGTCATATTTACTTGAAGAATGAAATTTTGTAACACATCAACTTTCTCATCACTGCTGATTTTTCACTGCTGATTGTTCATTACGATATAAAATGAACGAAAATAGAAACGTGCACACCCCCTCTTCTTTACTGTTATGCTGTATCATGCATTAATTTATAGAGAGAACATGATTTACGTATACGATCTATCAGACCTCTGAAACTTCATCTGATAATAAAATGTAGTATTTAGTATCTTTATTTTGTGGTAAACATCTTAAACCAGAGCATATTAATGAGCCCGAGCCAAAAAGGGCCAATTTCCTTGTCGTTATGTTTTACATTGCTCTTCATAATTGTTCGCAATTAACACTTAATCGCTGCATGCATATGTGACCGTTGATACAAATGATATTTTGATTTTGTAAGGTTCGTGTTTGAACAGGTATATTCTTTCATATTTTGCTTTTGTACGAGAAATGCGTAATACAAAAAACAAAAAAGCAACTTATTCTTGTTAACTTCTTGTCAAATTTGGGTATTTAGTTACTTTGTCACTTTTCCTTAAGAACCACCATTCAAGTCATCTTTAAAAACAAATACACGGTCAAGTTGAACTAAAGTCTGTGTCATTATTCAAAAGCATCATTTTGTTTTTCACATAGAAGTTAGTATTAAACCAATGGTGTCTTCACTTTCGCTAATGATTTTTCTCGTCGGCATGGCCAATAGCATTGGTTTAGATATTGCTTGGTAACGAAAAAATCGAGGGAGTATACTAAAATCATTTCGTGGTTTAATTTCGTGGTTTAAGCACAAAACCAATGATAACAGCATTAATTTCATTCAATGCACCATAAAGCCATGTGTCTCCTCTTTACAATGATATATCATTCATTGATATTTGGTTATGGTTGGGCGAGTAATCATTCCATTTGCAAAGTGGGCCAAAATTAGCTTTTGGCCAAGTTATAAACATCGCAAAAGTCAGTGTACGGAGCCTGATGCAATATTGTAAAAAAACATAAAACCAATGCTGACTGCATCCTTTTCATTCAATGTACCAAAAAGCCAAATTACTCCTCTTAGCAATGGTATATCATTCATTCACAGGGAGTCATGACTGGCCGAATAATCATTAATTTTGCAAAGAGGGGCAAAATTCAGCTCGGACCCAAGTTTTAAAAATTGCAAAAGCCAGTACAAAGGGCATAGGGGCTATTGGAAGAAGATGTGACAGGTGTGGCATAGACAGTAAAGTGTCCATACTCATACTCTTGCAAGAATACATCCTATACCTCTCCAAATTGCCACCACTTCCTTGCACATAAAGATGCGCTCGTCTGCCCAGGTCATGCATGGTTCAGCCCTAAGTCATCTGTGGGTTAAAGCAGAGAAAAGCAGCCCATGGGCAATTCTTTCTCGAGGTTTTGCAATATCTATAGTGGAGGAATTGTGAGCACAGATGCTCCTGAGATAGCTCCAAAAGAAAGAGTCACAACAATTCAATTCAGAAGAACTTCCATTGGCACTTAGCCCTTGCACTGATTTTTGCAATATCTAAAACTTGGCCAAGAGCCGATTTTGACCCACTGTGTAAACGGAAGGATTTCTCACCCAACCATTATCACATGTGAATGATAGACATATCATCGGAAAGAGGAGAGATGTGGCTTTATGATACATTAAATGAAATTGATGTAGTCATCACTAGTTTTATGATTTTACAAGATAACTACTTGTTCCGTTTTTTTGATACGCCCTGTATATATGATTCTTTTTATCAGGTTTTGGTAAAAATATGATTTTATCATTTTTTCACTTTACCTCATTCTGAATTTTTCATGTTTTGGCGTCTTCAGTGATATACATAATGGACTTATTTGACTTGTTTTCAGTTATACACAGTTTGCGTCAAGGCTGCGTGAATACATTAGGACAATATTCAATTCTACATAGGTCTTATAAAAACACACCCCAATGTCCAAAACAATGGTATGTTATTCAAAGAAACAATGTTCAATGCCCCTCCTTTATCGTTCAGGAACTATAATGCCAAATTCCAAAGCCACGAAACGATCAGATATTTGATTGTCAAATAATACAAGCTGAAGATTAAAGTGAAATATATATCTTCAAAATATGGCTAAGTGGGTACTTGTTTATAAATTGATGCACTATAAACACATGCTTAAAGTGTCATTCTGGTGAATGTCCTGTTACACAGTATCTGTTAACAGTAAATGAATCATTCCTTTCTTGGGCATTTCTCACAACTCCAAAAATTTGGAATCAGTTTTTTCATTATCTAATCCGAAGTTCTGTTCATTTCCTTCTTTTTTTGCATTTTAAGACTTAACCACTGTGTCATTGTATAAATGGGTATACATATCAGGCTTGACCTAAGGGCAAGTGAACAACATGATAAATCAGAGAGGATCAATTTAATTACTTTTAAGCTAATGACTTATTAGGCCTGCATCATTGAGAGTAGTACGAAGGTAAGTGACGTGCTAAGGAAATTAGGAATTATTTTAAAATCTTCATTTTTAATCATCTTAGTATTTTCGATACATTTTATTTGTAATATGTACCAAAATAAGCACATGCTCATTTACGATCGAAAATCTTTTCTCGCATAGTCAAACTTTTCAGCTTAGTTTATTTGGTGCACGACTCGTGTCGAGTCACACCCTAAAGCGATGCCAAGTTTACTCAAAGATAATTGCTAAATGCGATCCATTTAAAGTCATTAAACAAAACATATTATTTGGGTTAAATGTTACGTATATTATAACACGATGAAATTGTGTATATGGTTCTACGGCAAATAATCTTAGATTATCACATGGAAATAAATTTGCTTCGACCTCTTACAATTTTGTTAATTTCAGTTTTGATTAGACTGTTTTTTGCTATTGGGAACACAAAGGAATTCAAAACTAGATCAAACTATCATGATTACTTGAACGGTAGGGGAATGGATATAAGATATTGTTTCTTTTTATGTTATGCCATAATTTGGGATAGTTGGGGGTTGTTTTTCTTATGACTGGTGTACTCCTAGATGTTTTATTTTTCTTGGTATGTTCTGTAACAACTTTGGTCATTTCCCTTTGGCACTGGCGCACATATCTAAATTGAATATAAAACAGACATTAGGGTACTCAGAGAACACTTCATAAAAAGGGAGTTGTTGTGTTGGTAAGTATCGCAATATGTTTTTTTTTGTTCTTTTGACACTGTCCTTTAATTCCCAATATCTTCATGTGGTGCAAATTAAAGTAGGCATTATTAGTTGACAAAAAACGAGGACTGCCATCGCCCATCACTGCTTTCATAGCAAATCATAATGTAATGCAATGAATTACTCTTGGGCCAAGGATAGTCATCGTCAGATTTTATCATTTTGTAAACTTAGCCACTCAAATAAATTCATCAAATTCCTTATTCATATTATCCAAAATTAGGTTTTCTAGAGGAAAATGGTAAACAGCCCAGTTTAATGGATGACCCATCTGTGTGAATGAAAGTTAATTCGAAACATTTCTTTTAAATGTACAGTCACAACTTCAGTCAAAATGAATAAAATGGAATTTCATTGTTTATTTTGCGCGGTTATATTAAGCTGCCTTTACCGAAAATATATCAAAAAATCGCAATAGGTACTACAAGAGCGGTCACTTTATTTGTGTATGTAACTTTGCCATTGGTACACCCTATATGTGTTAGACACACTTTCAGATGATGCGGGGCATATTCCTACTGGTGATATGTTCATTGGCATGGGGCCAAGATACCGAGCCGGATGCCGATGAAGATATGGGTGCGTATTAAACTGAAACACCCGGGATATCTCTGGGACATTTCTGACCTGAAAACAATACCTGTACTCTAAATTAAATACCTTAGTTATCAATTTGCATTTTTTCATTTCAGTATAATCCCTTTTCTATACAAGAAAAAAAGAAGCATATTATTTAATTTTGCGTTTTCAAATCGTAGACTAGTTCTTTTTATCACTTTATTTTGGGTACATTTACTTCAATAATTCTGGAACAGAGTTCAATTATTAAATATGGGAATTATTGTATCTAGTTTTCTATCAAACGATACTGTTTCATTCTAGGTTTCCCACTAACCGAAGAGCAACTAGGTAAGTAGTAGTCTTTAAAATATATGGTTGAACCTTTAAAGATAGAATGGAAAATTGAACCGGCTAAATCTGACGATCAATATACAAGTACTAATGAAATGCAAATAAGTAATGCTCCTTTTTCTGGACCCAATAATTTTGATATTATAATACAACATGTATGTCGAGTCATTTTTATCAAAAAGTCATTATTCATAAATTAGAGAAAAGCATGAAATATCGGATAAAGTATACAACTTTTGTTTTAGCTCTTTGTGGTCCGACTGGTTATTTTGCTGATCCCGATGATTGCTGTTGGTTCGTCCAGTGCGATTACGAACCATTCAACGTCGGCCATAGGGTTGCCTGCATGGGAGGTTCCGTATGGAACTCCGAGAAGTGCTCATGCGAGGAACCAAATGCCAACAATCCATGTGACCCAGCTACATGCGACGGTGAGTGGAAAGCGAAATAGCTGTTTAAGAAGTGTATATTGATATTACATCCTGGTATTACAAATGAATGGCAGAATCTAAGCAGATACGAACAAAGGCTCGCAGAGGGCAGGGAATGTCATTCATATATTCAAAAACATTATTAACATTCATTTATATGTACACAAAGCCAATAAAAGTCGATAGCTATCTTTTAAAATTGATAATTCTGATTTTCTAGTTCCTGAGTTCGTGCCAACCCCTTGTCCAACAGCCGGTCTCCGTGATGGTGAGTAAAATACGGGTAAAATAAGAAAATATAAAGTGCCGACAGAAATGTGTCAAGCCTTGATACTGTGACAAAGTGATAATGCTATCAATTATATTTTCAAACTGCTCGTCTTTACTAAGATAAAGTTTCCTATAAATTACACGAAGTAAAAAATAGGTAAAACCCTTTTGTTTATTTAGATCAATGTTGTATCGATGGACTTGTTGTCACAATATTGAACGAAACATCGTATTACGTGGATTCGGAAACCATATTGGGAAATCAGACATGCCCATACGAGTTACTCTTCAATGCTGTTGACTGTTGCTGCGACTCTACCACTTTTACAGGTGATGAAGCTTATGTTATCTGCTACGTTCACGAACTAAGATCTCATTCAAAATACATGTTCAGGATATGGTATCAGTTCATTGAGGACAATAATGCGCGACGGTCTGACATATTCACTGTATCTCTATTTCAATGATCATGAGTGATTTTACTTTATAAATGACATTATCCTTCTCCATATTATTTCATATTGTTCTTGTTTTTATGTCCCCACCACATAGTGTGGGGCCATATTGTCGTCCTAGGCGCGTCCGTCCGTCCGTCTGTCTGTCTGTCTGGTTGTCTGTCTGTCCGTCCGTACGTCCGGCAGTTTTCTCCAAAACCGCTACAGGTATCACCTTCTAATTTTCAGGAATAACTTATGAGTGCCTATAGATGTGGATGAAAAAAATTTAACTCGAAACTTCTTCCTGTCGGCCATTTTGAAGTCAAATGCTAAAATCCTTGTCTGCAAACTTTAAGAAAAACTGCTTCACAGTTGCATTTAAAACTTTAACATCTTGTTCAGCTCACTTCATTCTAGATCTGATTAGGTTTTGCACCTGCTAGCTCAGTCATGTCAGCCATTTTGAATGTCTTAAGAAAAGTTAGCGCGCGATAATACTTTGTATCATATTCAATGGTGTTTTTGAGTTTTCATACTTTAACTATTTAGTAGCTTTATAAATAATTTCAGATGTACTTTGCTGTAAAAGCCTACTTTATTGTTAACAGTAGTTATATGTGATAATTTTGTAAAAAGAAATCAGCAAAAACTCATAAGGACTTTTTTATTGTCGGCCATTTTGGATTTTTCGGTCCTAAAATCTTGTCTGTGAAGTCTTGTCTGCGCGTTTTCAGGTGAACCGTTTGGTGGATCAATTTCAAATTTTCAGGGATGATTCTTAGTATAAAAATCTATATCTCATTAGTTTTTTGGCATTCTGGGTAAATGTCAAGGCAGCCATTTTGGATTTTCCGTCCTAAAATCTTGTCTGTAAAGTCTTGTCTACTCGTTTTCAGGTGAACTGTTTGGTAGATCAATTTCAAATTTTCAGGAATGATTCTTAGTATGAAAATCTAGAACTCATTAGTTTTTTTGCATTCTGGGTAAATGTCAAGGCAGCCATTTTGGATTTTCCGTCTTAAAATCTTGCCTGTAAAGTCTTGTCTACGCGTTTTTAGGTGAACGGTTTGGTAGATCAATTTCAAATTTTCAGGGATGATTCTTTGTATGAAAATCTACATCTGATTACTTTTTTTGCATTCTGCGTAAATGTTAAGGCAGCCATTTTGGATTTTCTGTCCTAAAATCTTGTCTGTAAAGTCTTGTCTACCCGTTTTCAGGTGAACCGTTTGGTAGATCAATTTCATATTTTCAGGGATGATTCTTAGTATGAAAATCTACAAACAGATTAGTTTTTTGATATTCTCGGTAAATGTCAAGGCAGCCATTTTGGATTTTCCATCCTGAAATCTTGTTTGTAAAGTCTTCTTTACATGTTTTCTGGTTAACTGTGTGACGGATCAATTTCAAATTTTTCAGGGGTGGTTCTTAGTATGAAAATCTAGAACTGACTAAATTTTGGGCATTCTGGGTAAATTTTAAGGTGGCCACTTTGGATTTTCCGTCCTCAAATTGTGTTGGTAAAGTCTTGTCTACTCATTTTCAGGATAACCATTTCACGGGATCACCACTTGGTGGGGACATTTTGTACACATTTGTGTTCTTGTTGTTTCTATGGTTTCCTCTTTTTCGTTTAGGACTAGAAATCGTTTTGATTCTTTCGTTATAGTTGGCGATGTACGCTTTTAGTTTGAGAAACTTATTCACTCATTAACAAAGTATGATATCGCATGCTTCTGATATTTTTAGCTCCCCCTCCCATGTGTGACCATTACACATTTGATCAACTGCCATTTGCGGATGAGGGTGTCATTGCCAGTGGTGCTGCATTGTTGACCCCAGGCGCAGACGCTGGTGGCGGCGCAACAGCAGGTTCTGCCTCGTTTTCAGCAGGAGCAGCAGCGGGTGCAGCTTCTGCCAAACTACACAGGTTCTCCAATGTTGACTTCAGTAATGGTTTCGCCACTGCCTTTTGGATTATGGCTGAAGGTTCCGGGTCATCAGTTCTCTTCCACAACGGAGATGAGGGTGGACAGGGTGCAAGTATATCTTTGGAGCTGTTGCAAACATCTGGTGGAGGATTCGCTATCTCTGGTGGAGTTTCCTCAGAAACAGATGGCGTTGCTGATTTCTATCAGACGACCGGTGTAAGCATAATTATCATCCAATATGTCAATATAGATGAGTTTTGATATATCAGAATTGGAGAGGGAGCTACACCATCGACATTCCCATAGCGACGTGATCATTCAATTATGTAAATGATCGTAATGTTAATTTAGCTTGAGAATCACATTGGCTAGGTTTCCAAATACAAACAATAATGTTTTTTCCAGTGGAGTGCCGGATCATGGCATCACGTCTGTATGTCATACCAAGATGGCCAACTGACGTACTCCTTAGACTCCGAACCACCAGTTACAGTCAATGAAGCGGGTAAATTAACCTATTCATAACCCTATATATGCCTATAAATCCCTTCAGCATATGATTTAACAAATAAAGAAATATGTATCCCTTACGAAACAATCACAATCTTAACTAATTTAAATATTATATAATAATTACTTAAAGACAGACTCTTTATTCATTCAATGAATGATTTTAGTTCATTCCTTCTCTGTATTTGTCCTGATGAAATACTGGTGTGAAAATCATATGACAATCGTTGAACTGTTGTGCTTTTGCCATATTTTCATTGTGTTTCTTGATGCTTTCTCTAAGTGTTCCACTTGACCATTGTGCATTAGAAAAATCACCGCATGAAGAATGAACCAATATTTTGCAGATGAATTGGACGATGAAAGTGTTCTTGAAATCTTTAAATCAGCTGCCAACGATGCGGCAGTGGCAGCAGACTCCGCTACAGAAAATGTTCGCAGAAGGCTCCAGAACGTTGGCGCGGACGATCCAGGATTTTCAGAGCTCCAGGGTGTCTTAGACTGTGTTGAACAGATCAAAGCTGATTTGGAAGACAATAAGGAATATCTGGATGATGTTCAACGAGGTCTTGATGACTTTAGAAAAGTCCGCAGACGATTCAGAAAAGCATTCAAGTGAGTCCCATCTCTTGCTTCTATGATACCCATTGTCATCTTCAATAAAAATTATAGATTGAATTTACATATATAATGATATAAGTATATTAATCCTTAAAAGTTAATCATTTTTATTCAGTCGATTCAAGAGACCAAAACGAAGGAATGATGAAAACAGGGATGAGCTCCAAGATCTTCTCGAACGAGCTCGCAGTGCATTTGAACTTCTGCGAGAGAAGGTCACAGCAATCTGTGACAGTCTTGATAAGGTACCCACCATGAACAATAGAGAGTTTAATCTTAAACTGTTTTCACAACCTAAACATGAATGAAAAGTACATGAATATTATGGAATGTGACACGTGCCCATAGTTTTGTATGCACTTTTAGTCTACTTCAGATGCCCGTTCAGCTTCATAGTTTCGTGTGTAGAACGGGGAATTAGAAATTTCACTTTGTTGTCAACGGGAATCATTATACTCCATAAACTAACCAATAAAATAAACAATTAACTAAACAGCAGCTAAGATACATTCACAGTATTATACAAAACTAACATTCTATTTAGGTTTGCGACATTCTTGGTAACAAAGAGATCCTTAAGCAATTGGATGCTGGCTCCAAGAAAACATTGAAGAGACTTAAGAGGAAATTGAAGAGGCTCAAGGGAAAATTCGAAGATGACTCAGGAGATGGGAAGTAAGACTTAATTACAGCACAACACTCGATTCGTAAATTAGCAAAAAAAGTTTCGAAAGTTACAAGTCTCCGATGAAATCAATTAAGGAACATATATGGGATGTCAATGTATAATTATTCTAAGTCTATACGGTTATCTTAAATGACTGGAATAAATTGAAAATTTAAGAACCCTTATCGATTGAAAATGGATTTTAGCAATACTGACCAACATGAATCTACTTGTTGAGACTAAATCAACTTCTAGTTCTTCTGAGAAAATGAGGATTTCAGAAAGGGTGCCATTGACTTATAATGGGGATGCAATTGCTTTCATCTTGCATATCTACAGTATGTTAATTCAAATACACCCTTGCTGAATTCTCATTTATTCAGAAGAACTTAAGTTAATTGAGTCTCAACAAGTATAATAGGGGTTCTTAAAAAGGAAATTGGGCTTGCTTTTTAGAACTTTTTGTTGGTACTAAATGCTTTCGGGATAGAATATAGGATGCGTTCCTTTAAACTTTCTAAGAATATGTCTATTTGTTTTCCAGCAACATGATTTTATAATAACAATGGTACTTGTTTAATTGCAGATTTTCACTTAAGTCTATTGATAAGACATTTGAAGAGACCGACAGAATAATCTCAGATTATGACGATAGCCAACGTACAGGAAGAAAGAAGAGACAGACAGATGATGGTAATGGTTATTTATTTAATTTTTCTTTTTCATTCAAATTAAATACATTTAAAATATACATTACAATGATTGCCAAAGTTAAAAAACACATTGGTGGCAGTTTTTTCTTAATTTTTTTTTATTAAATGTTATATTATAATTCATCATTAATGTATACTGAATTGGGCAAAAAGACGTTCATGTGTCACTCTTAATATTATCTATCAGTACGAGAATGTTTATGCAACAGTAAATTAAATGCTTTCAAGTGTTAGTAAAGAAGGTGAAGAATACGTTTTGTAGAAAAGATATCGTACGTGTAAGCATGGAGCTATTCAAAATTGTAAAAGGGGCGCAATGGTATAAATCTACTTTGAAACCAATGGACTGGTTGTCTATGGTATCACATTTACTTTCATAATGTGAAAAATTCACAAATTTTAATCAAACTTTCAACATTCTTGTTAAGTATGAGGGATTACTACTTAAGTTATTCAAATGCCCATTTACGTATATTTGTTGCTCTATTCAACCACTGAATAATATTTTATGTCCATAGTTGCGATCGGGGCAATTTGTTTAAACTATACTTCGAACGCAAATTGTTAAAGATGATTTTCTTAAGAAACGTTTGGACCAAGTTTTGTCGTGCCGTCCTACTGAAGTTCAGTCAATGTGAGTGTAAGGAGAATAGTTTCAACAAATATTTTATGTTTACATTTTTATGATAGATGATGGAGATGAAGAGGAAGAATTGGATACTGATATTATACAAAGCAAGTATCCATTCACTATAGGAGAAGACTTCAATGGAGCTATTGACGAGGTAGGCTCACGCTACTTTGTTAATACTGTCAATGAATGTATTAACATTTGCGCTACATACTTGTTGCTTGTTCAGTGGAACAGCTAGTACCCCTTTCATGTTGGAATCATTTCCAAAATTAATTGATTGATTCTCTCTTTGTATTCGTACTTTAACCATGGGCGATATGTCAGATCATTTAATAAAGTCGCTGCAGTATGTTTTTTTGCTATAAATTGGCGCATTGGCCTCTTAGAAAGGTGACAAATATAGATGTTTGTTATGATTTCTATCCAAATATTCAACCAATTTCTATTTATTTTCAGTTGTTTGTCTGTGACTTCCCTATCACCGAGGAACAAATGGACGCCATTAGAACACAGAACGAGAATCCAATTATGCCAATGATGAAATAATTTTTACCATTCGTCCTAAAATAGTATTGAAACATCTAAGTTGTGTCGCAGTCGTGTGTTTGTGACTTCTATGACCACATGAAATGGATTGTATCCTGAACTCATACATTATATTGTCACTTTAGTGGAGATTTCCAATAAAATGTATGTTTAATATACCGAATTGCTTGTTCGCCTTATGAATGAATCATAATAATGAAAGTTTACAACATCTACAGGGTGGTCCAAAAAAAGTGAACCCCTGCAACTGGCCATATTTCCCTTATTACTTGCAGGAATTATTTTTTATTTTCACATGTTGTAGAGGAAGGTCTAAAATTTATGTTGGTACCATACATTTTTCTTAGTCTTGAAATTTGCAGAAATTATAAGCCCTAACCAAACATTACTGAAAATGGACAAATTGTGATTTTCAATATGCGCGATTTTTCAACCCTTTAACACCTTTCCCCTGAGAATTTTTTAAGCTGCAGTCTTAAAGAACTAATATTTTCTGACTTTGTTCAATTTTAAATCTTGCACATTATGGGTTAAAACAAGCATCCTACATTTGTTAGTTGCAAAGTCATCGTGATCCAAAGAGATGTGCTAAGCTTCCACAGACGAAAACATTTTCCAGTGAAATCATGAACATAGCCCTACATGATCTTGAAATGTCAATATCTTCATAAATCATGGACCAATTCTAATGATATATGGCTCAAAACATTGAATATTGGATTTTCTTTTGATTTTTTAAAGATATTTGATGAAGGGGTTATCAGATTCCTGGTCACAGGGGGCAACTTCCTTCCATAAGAGGCCCCCTCTAACTGTCTGTGTAGGTAACATACCCCTGAACTGTTGAACAGTTAAAAATGCTTCAAAATGATCAATGAAAGTGTGAAATGTGTTTTCTGCTTGAATAGTGTCCCTTTTGTCATATGGTAGGGTTTTAAAGGTGTATCTCTAACTGAAAGCTGTTTAAGATCATCCAATGTGTTTCAACAATTTCCGCGAATCACATTTATAAAATTTTGTACAATATTTAATTTCCAGGCATGTTTGTTAAACGCTTGTATTTTTTTTCAAAATTTAAGACTGAGAATAAATTATGGCATCAACCAAAATTTTAGACCTTTCTCTACAACATGTGATAATATGAGCCAATTCATGCATGTATTAAGAAAATTGTAGCCTGTTGCAGGGGTTCACTTTTTTTGGACCACCCTGTAAATCATAAAGTATTTACCCAAACCTATATAAACTATAAGAACTATGAACATCTGTAAGCATCTAGAGGGGAAAGAAAAGGCGGAGAGCTTTTTTGCTCCACATTGTAGCACCATTCACCATTTTCTGATGAATTAATTATAAACATTAAAGAAACATTTATATATTTTTGTTATTTTCTTTTTACATTTTTACAACTTTTATATATAGCGTTTTCTCGACAAAAGTCAGTGCTTTTTGAGTTGTGGAGACCATTACTTTGTTTACCAACGCTCTAATGTTTGCTAAACAATCAATCAACCCAAAGGGTTTAAAAGTACAATCCATAATCGATACATTTAAATAATTACGCTCTTCCCTCAGCTATATCTATCTATCACAGGACCCTGTTGTTTTTTCCAATGTTTTTATCTCATCCCATTTGTTTAATTTAGTCGAGATAAACCAAAAGAAAATTATTTGAAATCTCTCTTTACAGGATTTCTATATAATCACTTCATAATTCCAACCAATTTTATTGACCAATCACTTAATTACTTGTCATGGTTTTCTTATGGTTGTGAACTATTTCAAACACACCAGGAATCAAGGACGTCTATACCTTGACAGAAGTTCTTAAAGGAACTAACAAAAGCCTCAATGAAACTGGGAATATAGAACCAGAACATGACTTATAAAATCAGACATTGTGTTTCACCATTGTAATGCATTTGTTCTCAAATATAGTATTTTCTATTAATTTAGTCTTACTATGTTGCTCTTTATGTTTGGATAAGCATGCGACAGGGATGTACGCTTTGGTCTTTTATTCGTCGCACCTAGTATATACTCGTTTTGAAAATGGTCTTCTTATTAAATATCTAAGCACATGTGCCAAAGGGAAAGGACCAAAAGTTGTAATGAAACTAGCAAGAAAAAGCAAACTCCAAGTGCATACCAGTCAAGAAAAACAAACCCCACATATCCCAAAACCATGATCTTACGTGAAAAGAAACAATGTCTAATACTCCCCTTCCCCCACCATTCAAGAGCCGATATCTTAGCTAATCAGTGGAAACTGGATAACTTATTAGCTACTACTGAGGTAAAATTTTCTATAATTGCTCTATCTGAGACTTGGCTTAATGCATCAAATCAAAACCAGTTTAACTTACCTAACTACTCATCAGAATTTAATTCTAGAATAGATAAAAGAGGGGGTGGTGTCTGTATAAATGTTCACAACTCCTTGCAGTATATTACACGCAATGACCTTAGGGTTGATAATCTAGAGTGTGAATCAGTAGCTATTGAATTAATCAGTCAAAACTCAAAAAATATCATTATTACTGTCATATATAAGCCACCTGGTGTTGATGTGTCACATTTTAATAGTGACTTGGGTGATTATATGAATAAAATAGCAGATGAGGGTAAATTATCTTACATCATGGGTGACTTCAACATTGATTTACTTAAGGTTGAATCTCATGAACCCACACATGATTTTCTGAACCAGTTTTATTCATTCAACCATGTCCCACTAATATATAGGCCGACAAGAATTACTGACAAGACTGCAACTCTTATAGATAATATTTTTACTAATGTCCCTAATATTGATGGATGTGGTATCATCATGGAGGACATTTCTGATCACTTTCCAATCTATTCCATTTCACATCATGATACTACCAAATCTAAAAAAACATTAAGCAGTTATCGTAATTTCAATGACTCTAATAAGCAATTATTTCTTGAGAAACTCTCAAATGTCGACTGGACCCCTTGTTATAAAAGTCAATATGATTCTTCATTTCCACTCAAATCCAAATTTATCAAGGTTAATCATGATCCTAATAGACCCTGGTTGACTTCTGGCATCTTAACTTCTGCCAAAACTAAAAATAAGCTATATACCAAATATTTGAAAAATCCCTGTTGCAAAACAGGAAAAGCTTACAAGTCCTTCAACCATAAACTTAAGCACATAATTAAATACTCAAAACGTACACATTATCAAAATAAGTTTGCCGAAGTAAGTGGTAACATTAAAAAGTCTTGGTCTATCATTAATGAACTACTTGGAAAAAACAAAAAAGCTGCATTGCCATCTAAATTCACTATAAATGGAAAGGAAACAACAGATCATGAAATCATTTCCAATGGATTTAATAATTTTTTTACCAATATTGGTAAAAATCTAGCCAAGGAGATTCCAAAATCCAAAAAATGCTTTAATGAATACCTAGCAAGAGCTCAAAAAGTTCAATCATCTATTTATCTCAAAAATACCTCAAAAACTGAGCTTGAATTAGAAATGTGTCTTCTAAAATCTTCCTCGCCTGGACCTGATGGGATTCTACCATCACTTATTAAGTCTGCAAGACAGTTTTTAATTGATCCACTCTTGTACATATTTAACTTATCTTTTAAATCTGGTATTTTCCCAGACGCCCTCAAATTGGCCAAAGTAACACCTGTATTTAAAAAAGGTGTCACTACAAATCCTTCGAACTATAGACCAATTTCAGTTTTATCTGTATTTTCTAAATTGTTAGAAAAGCTCATGCACGCCAAACTCACTGGTTTTTTAGAACGTTTTGAAATTATTTTTACTTATCAATTTGGATTTCAGAAATTCAACTCTACCTACATGGCCATTTTATATTTCATTGAACAAATTCGAAAATCAACTGATTTGGGGAAAACGAGCATTGGCATAACATTAGATTTTTCCAAGGCCTTTGACACAATTAATCATGACATTTTGATACAAAAACTTGAATACTATGGCATCAGAGGAATTGCTAAGTGCTGGTTTGAAAGTTATTTAAAAGACCGCAAACAATATGTCACCATTAACAATTATGAATCTAAACAATCATCTCTAAATTGTGGTGTTCCGCAGGGCTCGGTACTTGGACCACTATTATTTATTCTTTACATAAATGATCTGCCTTTTGTTGCCCCTAATCTAAAATTTATTATGTTTGCTGATGACACCAATCTTCTTGATAGTGATTATGATTTAAATGAACTTATGACTAGAACTAATGCAAACTTGAATTCAATAGATGACTGGATAAAAGCAAACAAACTTTCACTTAATATTGGCAAAACCAATGCTATTCTATTTGGACCCCAAAAAAATCAAACAAATCTGAATCTTAAAATACGCAATGAGAACATAAATTTCCGGGAAAAAATTGACTTTCTTGGAATTATTATTGATAAAAACTTGAAATTTAAAGAACACATAAAATCTGTTGAAACAAAGATTTCTCGCGTCATTGGTTCTCTTTATCACATTAAACATCTACTTCAAATAGACAGTTTCAAAACAATTTACTACTCATTGATACACTCTCAATTAAATTATTGCAACATAATCTGGGGTAACACATTTAAATCATTTTATGATCGTCTACATAAACTGCAGAAACAATTCTTAAGGCTAGCTTTAAATAAGGATAGACTTTCTCACTCCGCTCCCCTATTTGAAGATCTTAGAATATTAAATATTTTTCATGTCAACAGATATTGTACTGGTCAGTTCATGTACAAAATCTTTAATAAGCACCCCAGTCTTCCAAAAAATCTATTTCAAGACTTGTTTGATATCAACATTAATATTCATCATCATTACACAAGACAATTGCATCATTTTCATATCCCTAAATGCTCTAAACTTTCCCTTCGCTATCTGGGTCCTAATCTTTGGAATGCTCTACCACATGATGTTAAAAATCGCTCCACTCTAAATATTTTCAAATCTTCATATAAAAAACTACTCATCTATCGATAATGTATAATACCAATATCATACTATACTGTTGATTTTATACTGGTACCCGATTTTTGTAACATTTTTACATTGTACATCCTTAGATTAATTGTTAATACCATTTTTATATACCTACATGTAACATAATATAAGTGTTTTCTTTTATATGTAGTCTAGTTGTCATTTTAATGATTTCTGTTAAACCGCAACATATACCCACTAGGGTGTCTAGCGGCTTGTTTTTTTATAGTGTATATTATATAAGAATTATGAAATAAATAATAATTGAATTGAATTGAATTGAATATCACAATCCAAGACCAGAACACCAAGGGATAATTCATTTATACTGAAGTCATTACAATACATGTTGACGAAAAAAATTAGAAATTGATAGCCAATACTCATAACATCAAAAATAGTTGTAGATACAAGTACTCATACAAGATAAAGCATTCAGTCTAAAATGATGTGGGATAGATAAAATCCAGTCTCCAAGTCCATAGAAAGATTGATATGAGAATCGATTAGAAATTACAGGGCAGAAGAAAAGTCTCTAGATTTGAAATACGAACAGACTTTATCATCTAGCAATCTTTTGTCAAATTACAAATTATGACAAAACAATGATAAATGATGACACGAGAGCAAAAAACTTTTTGGACAACTCTAGGGAGAAAATTAAGTAAATATAAAGTGTCAAGTTACAAATTATAATTCTTTTGTCATCATTTGACATGAGAGCAAAAATTTAAACATTTTTTGGACAACCCTAGGAAGAAACTTAAATGAATATCATATGTCAAGTAACAAATTATGACAAAAAAACAATAATTGATGACATGAAAGCAAAATTTTGAAGACTTCTTGTTGACCTCGGAAGTAACTCGAAAAAATACCATATGTCAAGCTACAAATTATTGCAATAGAATGAAGATTGATGACATGAGAGCAAAACTCTGAAGAGTTCTTGGACCTTGGACAACCCGAGGAAGAAACTTAATGAACACCATATGTCAAGGTACAAATTATGACAAAAAACAATAATTGATGACATGAAAGCAAAATTTTGAAGACTTCTTGGCCAATCCTTGGAACAAACTCAGATAAACATAATATGTCAAGCTGCAAATTATTGTAATAGAATAAAAATTGATGACATGAGAACAAAAATTTAAAGACTGGACAACCCTCGAAAGAGACTTTGATAGATATCACATGTCAACGTACAAATGATGACACAATATTTCGTTGAAGGGCTACATGTTATTATTTATTTCTGTAAAGATCACAGTAATTTATTGTTCAGGTATTTCCTCCTCCTCTTCCTCGGTGGTGTCAACTTCATTTGAAAACTCATCGGGTTTAATGGGATTCTCATTAAAGTCTCTCATAGCAAAGAGTTGTTCGTCAGTTAGAGCAAAGTCACACACGAATATCTAAAAAATGTAAAGTATAAGTAAAGGTCAAGCCGTTTGATATTTGATAAAGGCAGAATCAGATCCAGCTAGGGCCATGGAGCAACTTTTTCGAACAATTGTTTCAATTTTAGAATAAATTTGGTTCTGGTAAACATTTTTTGAATTTATGTGTATTTGGGAGAATTTACATTCCAATAACATTCTATCATCCTCACTGTTCAACAACTAGTTACTTTGACTTCACGGTTACGAGTTTTTTGTTTTCTCGATTAAACCTCATGATTTGGCTCAAAGCTAGAAAAAAGTCACGTTAATCAGTTCCTTTGATTTGGAATTTGTTTTGTAAATGAAGTTGCAATTCATATATTTAGCCCCTGGCTTCTGTTACATTGACGAAAGTCCGTTTATATTACCAATGTCGTTATATTAACAATATATGTTACTTTGACGACTTACGTCAATGCAACAAAAGCGATGGTCTAAATGTATGAATTACAAAATTCCAAACCGAGAGCATTTCTAAAAGCTAGACTATATTGTCTAACTTTGTGCCAAATGATAATCCGCAACATGAGTAAGCTTAAAACGAGAATCTTCAATCGAGAAAACAAAAAAACTCGTATCCAGTAAGTTCATCCATTTTGTTACATTGACGTTCCGTCAAAGTAACTAGTTGTGGAACAGTGCATCCCGAGGACGAGAGGAAAATGTTGTTTTTCCTCGAATAATAAGCATAATGACAATGATAAATGATTTTTGCTGTATATTACCTCATCCATTGATCCATTGAAGTCTTCCCCAATCGTGATAGGCCACTTGCTAGGAATGATAAAAGTATTAGGGGGATTGATAGGGCCATCATCATCATCTGTAATAACAAAACCTTGAATTCAATATGGATACGATGCATCGAGGTCTTTATTATGAAGTTTGATATCAGAGCAGTAAACGTACATGATATTGTGTCTCCCGGATATATTTTGATATGTTCATTCTGTTATTGTAGTAAACTAAAGTAGTAAATTAAAAGTAAACGCAGGGAGTTTGTAAGACTTGAACTCAAGACTCCGGTGGTCGACGCTTCACTAGAATTGGCCAACGGTTTAGATTGCGGATCCGCAGCCTCCAAAGGCTGTGTCGCCAGCTAAACTAATTAGAGGGGACTTTTGGTATATTAGACATACAAAGTCACGTCAACTTCTGGCTTGACAGTAACACACAGTAGATATTTTCAAGTGGGGATGTTTGTTGAAAATAAAGGCCTGTTATACCAGTTTGTCTCCTTCCACGACGACCACCACCACCGCCTGTACTAGTGCTGCCACCATCAAACGAGGCCAGCTTTAGTTCCGCCTCAGGGAAAGTTTCTTCAATACCTCTAAGTCCAAACCTAGAATAAAAGCATTTTCAAATATAGAATAAAAATACCGTACATAGTGTATCTGTCAATACTATAGCCATATTTACCATATACAGGGTGGTCCAAAAAAATGGGACACTCGTAATTCAAAAATAAATATTGATTTTCTTGACGAAAACATGTAATATTATATACCAATGGATTGAAATACAAGTGTCCCATCTTTTTTGGACCACCCTGTATATACAACATACATCTCGATATATTATGAATGTCATTCCAGCCCAAATAAAGGATTACATGTATAATCCAAAAATTCAGAGTAACGTGTAATTTCAACATTACAAACCTCTTTTTTCTGTAAAAAGAAAACGAGAGGGTAGAAGCTCCTATAGTTGATGAATTTCCTTAAACATGTACTTTCCTCATAAAAGGTACATACACCCTTTGCATTTGCCATGGCACTAATTACAAGCTTAACAATTTTTGCAAGCCTTTAATTGCATATTCAGTAGAGACTGTGTCAAAGCCTGTTGATGGTGCAAATTGGAGACTGATACGAATTATAACATGGCATTAACATGCAAAATGTCACCACCTGTCATTTGTTACAGACACCGAACTCCGAACACCAACCGCTGATCACCGTCCGCAAATACGTTGGAGACCATAACAATATTGTGGTTGTGGTGTTAACAATAAAGAAAGAATTTCAATTTTAGATATTTACCTTTTATCTCCTGGAGGATTGTCATCGTTGAATTTTCCCTTTAGTTTCTTCAATTTATTCTTGAGAACTTTAAGCAGGCGTTTGACTTCTTTCTCTAAATGCTTCTGGATGATTCGATCTTCCAATATGACACACACCTATAAGTAGATTGTTTTTGACACCTTTTCAAAGCCTTAATTCAGCATGTCATCACTATACCTTGGATGATATTGAGGCATTCATTGTGAAATTTGTTTTGAGGGATTCTTGACAACGGCCAAACACTTTCACTTTGGTTATTATCTAGCGCTGTGACATTCAATTGGAAATTTAAAGTGCATTTATTAGATTTAGTTAATGAAAAGGAATCAAATTGATGATTATCCTCAAAACGTCGTTTTTAACGTTTTCTAAGGCCTAGATAGTTAAATACATCATTTAATGTTTTAAAGCAGAATGTATTGCAATACTTGTTTGTAGGCGAAATAGTATTACAATGTCTACAATCACACTAAATTTCGTGATATTAAATACGAATACCATTTGAGTATTACCACAGCGTTCGACGTACACGCTTTAAACAAATATCATTTTCTTTATTTTTATTTAAATATTTTTACTGTAATTTTTTTTTTGTTGGATGAACGTTTGGCCCTAATAGGGCATTGGTACAAATGAATCCTTTATATATTTGCTATAAATAATCTTTCACAAATGCACTAGTACCCGTTTTTAAGCGATCCAGAAACCGTTATTTTGAATAGACATAATCAATTGAATGTTAGACATTCAATTGACAAAGATAAAGACACGTTTCCTAACCTTCTCAAGATCTTGACAGATACGAGAGACCTGGGCAGAAAGTAGGTCGAATGCACCCTTTACGTCTTCAAATGCATCCTCCAATGCTCTTTTTGAATCACTATCTTGTTTGGCTGGACGACAAAACACACTGCAATAGCAACAATCAGATCATTTTAGATTATGGAGAACATTAAAATCCCATTTACCCCATTGCAGTTTTACATAACTGGCAAATTTGATTGATCCTTTTGCTCCCTAAGTAATACTTCCTCTGGCACAAACATTATTAAACTGAACACTCTATAATGTACAAAAACACTATATTGAAAAGAACATTTTGTCTATCATTAAATAAAGAAAATTAAAAAATCTGCTATGAATGTTTACGAGAATGTAGAAATCCTCTATTAGAGGCATGACATCTAACATTTTGAATGACTTAATGTTTTATTTATCTCTTGCTCACGTAGGCCTAATATTGGAATGCTCACTTAAATGCTCTTCTATAGACCCTTCTTTTTGATCTAAAGTCAGTGAGTCCCGAGTTCAGGTCGTTGATATATCTGCTATTTTCATCCAAATCACTTTTGATTATTTCAAGGCAGTCTTTAACATCTTGTATTCTTAGTCCTGGAACTTCTTCAGCTGTTGGGTCAGGAGTTGGTAGTTCAAAGTCAAAATTTCTCATTAGATCACGTACACGGGTCGCCACTTGAACTGCTTCAAAACTTGCTTGGTCCATAAGAAGCTGAATACTTTCGTCATCTGCGTCGGCTATAAATAAAAAGACATAAAGACTACCATAACATGCATGCTTTGAACCAAGATGTAACCGATCGTGCGATCAGTACAATAAATATCAATGTAAGCGACACCCAGACATAATTACAAAATACGAAATATAGTAAAAAGCGTCAATTGTGACTGTTTCTCCATTGGACGTCTTGTTTGAGCCTACATGTACATGGTGTCCCGAAAGTATGCCCCCCCCCTAGGCAGACATATACCAGTGTCGTCATAGTATGTGTCATGTATCATTTTAAAGCTTATCTAAAGTTACATTGATTCGCCAAGTATCATGGTTCAACTCTCAAATGTGAAAAGATTACAGGCATTTCAAGTGTTTTTAGTGTTTGGTCAAAATTAAGTTCAATTTTACACCAAATCACTAGTCAATGTGTCCTCCTGGGCCATCTTAACAGCAGCAGTTCTTTTCGGGTCGGATGGATATTGAGTTGGAAAAAGAGAACGATGGAGGTCAAAACTCTAGGGAAACTCTTCTAAAGTGCCTTAACAGGTTTTAAGCGGGTTATAAAATTCCACACCCCTATTTGAAGGGCTTTTAAGGTCATATCTGAAAATAATTGCTGCTGTTAACATGGCCAAGGGGGGACTCATTGACTAGTAATGTCGTGTAAAATTGAACTTTATTTTGACAAAACACTAACTCTTGGAATATGTCTACCTAGGGGGGGGGGGCATACTTTCGGGACACCCTGTATATCAAACACTTTATATTCAGGATCATATATTTAAAGGAAAACAAAAAGTTATTTCAATGGATCTTATATCCTTGATTCATTCTAAGCTTATCATGTACACTTTCATTCAAGGGTCTGCATACATGTATTTATCTCATTTTAAGGATCACAAAGATCAAATGATCAAATAGGTGTACTTGCCTGATTTAAAGGATCATAATATGTACTTGCCTGATTCACTGATTACAATAGGAGGGGTATCGTCAAGATAGAGCTTCAACTCTCCTCTTTCATATCTCATACCGACCCAATGCCATTCCCCTTCTCCCCACTGTAACATAAATATAGTTGACCACCATAGCAGTGAATTGAAATAAAAGAACTAGAGAAAAACTGAGAGGGTTGATGTCACAATGGATACACTTTGGAATCGTGTTCATCCTCGTTCAAAATGTCTTCTTCAAAATGTCCTCCACACTCACGTCTCAATACTAATTATTATTAGAATTTGTAGAAGTTGTTGATAATTCCCTAGTGTTTTAAATAGTTCTTATATATATAATATATCTTATCACTTTACTATAGGTTATTTTGTCCATATCTAATGGCACAAAATAAAGCCCGTACGTATAAAGATAAAAACACGAAAAACGGTTGTCATACGAGTATTAATAATTTGTGAACAGATTCTCTATCCTTCATTCCAGGGTATTTCAGTTCTTGAAACAAAAAAGTCGATGCGGCAACAAAGTCCGAGGTTAGCTATGGGTGTACGATCAACAAGATGGGTGGAGTACGTTTACAGATGAACTAATACTGCCTTTGTATAGACATTTTCATTACATTTCTACATGAAGGAATCAAGCATCAAGCAAAACAGCCACATACGAAAAATATGATTAAAGAAAATGGACGTTGTCATTGAACACTCACTGTCGTCTGCTGGATGATGTCGTTCACTCCATCCGAAGACAAGACACCCGTAGATATAGTGGTATGACCACCGGAAGTGACCATTTCCATACTAATAGTGGCATTAGCACCGCCGAAATCTCCATTGTGAAAGATTGTCGATGTTCCCTCGCCCTCAACCATTACCCAGGAAGAGAAAGTAAAATCTTCGCCGAATGGAACATTCGCGAATTTATCAAGTTTTGCTTGGGCGCCACCGTAAGCTCCACCTCCTGTTGCTCCGTAAGAGAAGGATATAGAGCCGTTTGTTTGAGCACCGTTGAAGCCAGCAGAAGCGCCCATATCGCTGAATCGTGCGCCAATTGTTGACACTCCTTCCCTTGAGAAGTTCGGGTCGTCAAACGTGAAGTGATCGCACATGGCGCTCGGAAGATCTATTTAAAAAATTAATTACATAACATAAAAACTGTCATATTTTTCTCGTATAGTATATATTCTTGAGGAAGCAAATTCAAAAATATAAGAAATAACAAGAAAAATATAATTTTATCTCGTATATCTAAAATATGGAACGATTAAAAAGGAGAATATGTTTACAATCAGCCTACCATCTACCTATATCTAATCCAAATCAGCATTGACAGTTTATTTCTATACAAAGAAATGAATGCATTTTAGTTATGCAGACTGATCCATTCTTCTCACAAATATATACATTCTTACCAGCATGTAGTTCTCCCGTTTCACAGCAGCAGTCGTCCTTGTTAAAGAGAATACCAAGTGGACACGTTTGAATAGTATTCCTAACCTCAGGATCTTCACCGTCAACATAGAATGACGTCTCATTAACAACGTTGATAACGACTCCGTCAATACAGCACTGATCTGTTGTAAATGAAAAATAATGTCGACAGATCTTTCCAATGTATTCTGACGCTTTCTTGTGAACCAAATAAACTAGATAGGGTATAACGGCTGGATTTATCATGTCATGTTTTGCAGGTAACCAAACCCGTCTGGTCCATTCATCTACTCCCTGACGTCGTAGATCTACGAAATTTCAGATTCAGAGAGTAGATAACTCTGGACAATACTGGTTTGGTTAACTTTAAAGGGAGCAAGGTGCGTTCAGAAAATTGAAACAAGTTTTGGTATATATATGCGATAATTTAGTTTGAGTTCGAGAAACTGTTAGAATGACATCATAAAAAGCAAGTCGCATGGTTCACAAATTTCAAACTGGATGGCAACATGCCTTATAAAGAAGTACACGGGCAGCACATAGAAAGTACGTTAACTATAATTATTAGTATTCGTTTGAAATAATTATTAAATAGAAAATAATATAGAACCACTTACCCTCCCCGAGCAAACCTTCTCCCGTTGTTTCGTTAAAAACAGGACATTGGTTCGGTTCCCAGTCAGGAACTTGAAGATAATATATATGTCTTAATCAATAGATAAAATCAAGCATTAACAAATGAAAACAAATATCTCTGCAAGGTAATTTAAATAGAAAGGAAAACTAACATGTACAGGGTGGTCTGAAATGGCAATCCTGCCGCTATTTTCCTCATGTCTTTCTCATTTTAAAGAATTTCTCCATGATATTTGGCACACATGTATACCATTCAATTTCCATCTCTCAATTTCCTGCTGAGGAGTGCAGTCGGGTCATTGATAACTTGTACAGATTCGCCTTGAGGGCGATGATGGCCACACCTTGGGCATGTTGTTTAAAGTGCTGTAACCTTGCAACTATCAATCTGATGGTCGTAAAATGTGATAGGATGATGTACAAATGTGCCAAATATCAGGGTGTAATTTTTTTTAAATATCAAAGATATTAGGAAAATGCAGGGTTCATTTCGTAATAATTTAACAATTTTCGTTGCAGATACAGAGAAAAAGACGAATTTGTTCCTGTGTTGAGGCTAATTTATTTCTAATACTAATTCAATTGATGTTTGTCCTTACCACCTTTGCATTCTGTCACATTACATACTACACTGGCCTTCTCAGGTACTACACAGCCACATTCCTGAGGGTCCCAGACAGTCCCTCCCATACAGGGCTTTCGGAAGCCTATGGAATAAGGCTCGTAGGCGCACTGAATATACCAGCAGCAATCCGTGGGGTCTGCATAGTAACCAAGGGGGTAGCACATCCCTTGGGAAATTACGGACACATTTCTTACAGGGTGTCAATAGATAAATGATTTCACTGACAAGGAAATATATTAATTCACATAATTTCAAGTTGACATGCATCAAAGTAACATTCATCTCAAAAGAAAGACTCTTGGAAAGCTATTTCGTATTTCATGATTTTCCTCTCACACAAGCCCCTTGGTTCTTATTTTCGTTGAAAATTCTGAAACAATGCTTCAAAAAGTAAATCTAAAAAGGTGAAAAAATTAATTTATATTAATATGTGGTGATTTGGGATAAAATATCGTACTTAATCGAGCTACTCTATGCTATTACGGATTCGAAAAACATTTTAAACTCCAGTTCATATGTTTTTTCAGTGTGGCCAGCCAAATAAAAATGTAAACTAAACAAATGAGGCTTTAAAATAAAGCAGCGGCCAATAAAAAGCTTTTGTATAAAGTGCAGAAACCAAACTATTAGACTATTCTAAAACCTAACATTCTAGCACTTACTCTTCTGTAAAGCTGACAATGCAAACCCAATATCTGAAAAAGAGATAATATTGTTATAAATGAAAACATGCTGCAATGCAGGTTATGTCTGAAAACAAGCTTAATAGTTTCAATTTGCATTTATTTTCTTATTTTCTCATCATACTATGTTTTTTGTTTATATAAGTTCATCGTATTGCTCACTCAATTTGAAGTGTTGGTTTGATTTTGCTCTTGCGTTTGATAATGACTTGCATAGCCTTTGACATCATTATGTCATATAAGGGTAATTTACCGTCCTCAACTGGATCTGGTATTGTTTCGATGTCGTCCTGTGCCACGCATAATGCCGCAAGTGCAAGCAGCACCAGAATCTTCATCTGGAAGAAGGATATTTGAGTGGTGGTTACATAATGACTACCAACACACAGTCTTGCTATAGTGGAACTGCTGTAAACTTAGCATTTGCGTGAGTGAGCTTGGACCTTGATGCATGACACTTTTTTCTTATACTTGATGGGACATCCCCAATTTGGACTCCTTGGGGCTCAATAGATCTTGGGGTTTGCCCATGGGATTCTTTAATTCTCGATAGGATTTTCTACAATGAGAATCCGTTAGACCGATTGTAAAATGCCACAAGGGACTCCGAGCACGTTGATGATACTTTGCCCCATTTGGCTTAAAATGGTACCTCACCTCATGGGATTCACAGGGATTTTGCCCCAGGAATTCTGTGGTACTGTACGGGACTATATATGGATGTGTCACATGGGCTTCTGTAAAACTTTGCCCCAAGGGAATCTGTACTAATTAATTAATTTAGTTCCATGTGACATATGACCTCATAGGACTCTTTTACTGTACCATGGTAACCGTATAAATATGGTTCACGTTGTATACAAGTACATGTCGTCAACAGATCATATTGAAATGTTTGAGGCTACCTGATATCGCCGTTGTAAATGAAATATGGTTTCTAGCCATAACTATGGTCACCCTCTTCATTGATTTATATTGACTCATTTCAGAACAACCCAGGCTCAATGTGTACATTAAGAAGGGGACCATAATACTCGGCGGACCATAATTTATTTACACCGTGGTCATTACAATTTTAATCAAATAAAATATGCTATGCTAAGATAAACGAGGATATAAGAAAACGTGAGCCAAATTGATCATTAATGGAAACATTGAGATTATACTCACGTTTTAGGATATCCATACGTTGATGTAGCATGTCATATGGCCCATGTCCACAATATTTTCTGGTTTTGCGTGACATCTACAAAGTTTAACAAAATATAAAAAATCAAGACGTGGACAAAGATAATTGAAGCGTTTCATTCTTCTTTCCCAATGATTTTCTCAAAGTGAAATCGATAGATAAATGACTATTATAACAAACATAAATAAATTATTCGATCATCACATGTGGTCAGATGGGATCGTTAGATATGTACTTTTTAAAATGTCATTGCTTATACTCTATATGCCAAGTTGTTGTCCAGTGGTTTGTTTTTTATATTATATTGTAAAATGAAAAAATTCTGAAATATATTGCATTACATCAAATGTGCAATACTGAACAATTATAATAATTTTTACTTACCGTAAAAGTGGGTAATATCCAATAGAAGATTATGCGATGATCGATGGTAAGGTAAAGGTTAGCAGTGTCTTAATGTTTAGCCATAACCTCAAGCCATATTGTTGATCTAAACACCATTAAATTTAGAAAGCTTTCAAGACTTGAAACAGTTGTAACATACCTTTCGATGGTATACGTGAATACGCCTCTGTGGTATGTCTGCGCTGGATTATAGGGGTGAAATTAAGGGTTTTGCGATTTTGAGAGAAACCCCTTTCAGAGAAGAGAAAGCGTTTTCTCATGCATGATTTTCATGTCTCTGGGGCAGATTAATAGGGAGGGACCCAAAAGTACAAATACACAGATTGAAAATAAAAATGAACGTATTTATTTCACATTATGCAATGACATTTTTGTTGGTATTCCGCCAATCACTGATCAATATTTTAACTGCCTTTACAATTTCGGATGATGTGTGACGATTTCAATATTAGTTTTCACATAGTTATAAAATCACTTATACGGAGTTGATATTTCGGTCATATCAAGCTCTGTCTGCAACATGATAAATTGTTCCTATATCGCATATGGACCACCATCACAACATATCTTTTACTGCTGAGGGTACGGTAACGTGAATATTTCGCTCGACCTTAATCTTAATACGGGACCATTTATAACCAAGTAAGTGCAAGTTATATTAGGGTGGTTAAGAGTCTTAAGATTAGCGTAAAATTGTACGTATACCTATCCCTATCCGTATGTTTGCAACTGACCTCCCTTACAAACATACGGATAGGGATAGGTATACGCATCTTGGATTTCCAAGGAAACGAGTATGAGGTATACGTACATTTTTACGCTAATCTTAACCCCCCGGCCTATTATCGTGAAATTCACGTACTTTGTCCTAATCAGTAGATCTACAATATATCGTTGGATCGTGGCGTCCTCTCATAACATTGGAGCTACCTGTACTTATATCAGATCACGGAGTTTCTGTGTTATTCATTTTAAACCAGTACGATAAACTCATAAAAACGACACCAAGCTCACAAATCAATGTGCTATAATTTTCTAATCAAGATAAGGTAAAAATGATATAATTATATATCAGAATACTAAGTATTATGAATTTAGTTGTATCTAATATTGTATTATTCACATTATTGTGTTTGGTGATTTATAAAAACATCAACCCATAAAAGTGTGTTAAAGTTACAGGTAGTACCACAATGACTGTCCTATTAAAAGTACTATGGATTTTTAGGTACTTACAAAAATCTCTATACATTGTTTAGGTATCATTGAGTTACATAGTACCATTTTGCATTAATCTAGACCGAAATAGTAAATAGTTGTGCATATGAATATCATCTGTTACATATTCCATTATTTGTGACTACAGTATTTGCTTAGAATTAATAACAAAAGATAGCGTTGTGATAAATCACTTTGGGATATGGATGATATCAGGGCTGATACTTGGATTAGAGGGACGATATCAGGGATGACATTGACATCATCCCGGGTACATATTCAAAAATCTATTTTCAAAATTCTAATTTTTTCAAAATTTATACTTTTTCACAAATTTTCATTTTTTCAAATCCATCCTTCCCGAAAATCACTGTTATATACGCATTCTCTATGAACATTTAGTACCTACACACAAAGATAGACTTATTCGAACTTTTATTAAGTCAATGAAGTTCAATCAACACACGAGTTATCCTGGATCACCATAATTACATATGTATATTTTATTTACCAAGTCTGTATATTCACATTTACACAAGCTATAATATTGCAAGCAATGAATATAATCATTATACATTATTTCCGCTGTCGGATTAACTTATCATTTTGCATACTGATTAAACCCAACAGTTTGAAGATGAAATGACGATGAAACGAATTAGCCTCAAATTGCAATCAAACCGGCAGCCGATAGTTGCATTCTCGAATGCTACCTAATAGGTAAATGTTTTACTGTTCGTTTTTATGTCATCACCAGAGGTAGTGACACATTGCTATAGTCTCCAAACTTTTTGAGGATGGTGTTCGGCGTTTGTAACAGCGGTCGGCGTCTTTTACAAAGGCAGGTGGTGAGATTTTGCACGTTAATGCCTTTTACTGGATTTACACTTGTATGACTTTAATTCGATGACTGTTGACTAGAATAATCATCAGACAAAAAAGATTATGTCGAATTGTCGAGCATATTCGTCGTGGAATCTGGAGGCATACATTGGAGAGTGGTTAGTACATCCCTTAATGTGATGTAGGCTTGCTTACTGGAACCTCGGTCGCCAATTCTAAACGACAAGTGAATTACCATTTTAATCAATGACACAGCTTTCACGAACTTTTGATTTCTTGGATTTGCGTCTCTTCAATAATGATCGAAAATCATTGACACTGTGCACATCATTTCATTACAAATATACAAATAAGCACTAGATGTAAATTCTCACTAAAGTGCTGTTTCTGTGGAAATAACAACCATCTTTGTACTCCCATTTGAAGATTGCTTTCCACCTTTTCCTTCGCCGCAGCAATTACAAAGATGGCGGCAAACAGTTTTTGTGCATGTAAAAGCGAGACATAGAAAAAGTCCTTGTAGCGTATTAAACACGATGAACACATACCACATGAATTCAAGTTGTACAAGGGTAGCTAGGAATCCAAATAGCCAAGTCAAGCCCATAATTAGGCACAATTTTACGTATAAAATAAAGTCTCTTTTATTTGATGATTTTATTACTTTCCTCGTAGCCTTCATTGTCTGGTAGATATGGCAACTAGTCACGCAGTAGAGGATAATGTTTATGAACACCAAGGCTGCTAGAGGTGCTGCAAAGAAAACTAAAAGTCCAGGTCTGTATGTGATCCAACAGACATTGTCCGCGTAATTGGGCCGCCATGTTGTATCAACGAAAAAGTCTAATGTCACTGCTGTACCAACAATTACAGCCGGGGATAGCCATGCATAAAGCGAGTAGAGCGCGAATCTGCAAGTGCCAGAGGTGCTGTGTGCTGGTTGTAGGCCCTTCCCAGAAAAGGCCATACAAATGTCAAATGCAAGGACGTTGGTCCAGAAGAATGAAGCCAGGAAGAAATAATGCATAGCGACGGCTATTGAGTAGCAGACTTCCCATATATCTGTGCGTCCAACGCCTACTAAGAAGAGTAACTGGGCGATGAAGAGTGAAAATACAAGGCACATCAAACATTGCCCTGGTACGTTTCTCAGCGGGGGAACTAGGAGGTATATCAAGAAAAATATGAATAGAGCTATTAGTGAGATTATCAGGCCTCCCATAGAAACGTAATCCTGTACGGGTGAGAATTTAAACATTGCCATGTAAACAGTAACATTTTGCCTGATTGAGAAATTCTGAGTTAGCTCGCTACATATGAAAACCAATCCACCGAAGAGGTCATATTCCCCTGTAGAGTAAAATGATTCCATTGCATAGATATATATAGTCTGGTTTGGGAACCTAATGTATTCTGTGTCATTAAAGGGAAGTTTAGGACAATCATCCGGGAGACTATAGTTCACTCTCCTATCAATTCTGGCATCTTCTGTTGGGCGTTCAGCTTTGTGCTTATTTGTGCGGTCTTTGCGGTTCTTTGGTCGATTCCTCCGCGGTTTTCTGGTGGTTGTCACGTCATAATCCCTAGGTTCATTGATATCAATACTAGGGGTATCATCGTTGTAATTGCTATCCAGCATCACCGAAGATGTTTTTAGGTCACTTTCAATAATAATGAGATTTTGAGTGGTGGTTGGTGGTTTTGTGGAACTTGCTGTTGTAGCGTCATTTGCGGTAGTTGATAAAGGAGTAGTCGAGCTTGCACTCTCTGTAGTCATAAGTTCGAGTACATTGTCTTCTAGTTGGCGTACGCATAGGCCATTTTCAAGTACAAACCCTGGATAGCACACAACTTCCTTACAAGACTCCGTGAACAGATTGTAGACCTCATTATTGGGGCATGATTTGTATTCAACCCTTTCCTTAGTGATCTCCCCTGTTACTGATCCGACTGCCGATGAAAACATACCACCTCCGGAGTTCAGATCCAGGAGGATTGAAAACGGGAAGGATGATAAAGGATCTTCGCTCTCATGGCCTTCGCCAAAAGGAAATCCAATAATACCAATGGAATCAGGGTCTTGACATCGTGTGTTATTTAGCTCTTCGTTGTTGCACAACGCGCAATGTTCATTTTTGTACACTTTGTAGAACCACGACGTGTCTTTAGCATACGTATAAGATATGGGTTTCTTCTGGCATTTCTTTTTCAATTTTCTGTCAATTCCTTTGGCACATTTACTTATGGCTCGCTTACAAAATGTAAATGAGTATTCGGAGTGTGTGTAAGTGAAAAAGCACGTCCCTTTGTTCTGTTCTATAATATCATGTAACGTACGGTTTTTATATTCTTTCAATTCATCGCAATCAATCGAGGCTTGCCAGAATGATATGTCCGATTGTTCAAGCCCATTGCACATTGCACAAAATACGTTTTTGTACAAAAAGCCATTTTGTTTACCAGATACCGGAACCGTATGTTCGGGATCTTTATCGTCTTTGGATTCGCATTTTGCTGCTGCAGTAGGATTGTCTCGTCTGAAATGTCGCGGGCATTTCCCTATAACATACACATGATTTGTACCAACATCCGGGATATCTGGCATCCTTGCACAGGTAAAAATCTCTTTAGGTAAGGGTAGCTGAACACCAGCTGGGAATTGTTGTGCAAGTGATTCAATGTCCGCTGATTTGCAGCAATCCCCGTAAACGGCACACCATTTATCACAATAACAGTTTCTTTGGAGAAACGCTGCCGTATCATTACGGAAGCCACTACTGTCACTTGTCTCACACTTACTTCTCTCTTCACATGAAGGTCCCTGATCGAAATTAACGTAATCCGGCGCATCCACAATATCAAATATAGGATCATCGATCGTCTGTGGAGTGGAGCGTGACATGTTCACAGAAGCGAGGAGAATGACTAGCGATAATGAAGCTCCAATAATCCGTATAGTTATTCCACCAACCATGTTAACATCCATCATTTTGCAGACCTGCCACACCAGGTCGTGTAGTTCAAGAAATCTGGTGCTATTTTTACAGCACTGACACTTCAGATCTCGATTATCTCAAGTTTCCAATGCATATATTCAGAGGAAGTTCTAAATCTTTTAAACCGATGATTCGCCCTTTTACAACCAGATGTCTGGGTTTACCTCAAGATGTCAAAGCTAAGTATTTAGAAGCAGAGCTTTAGGTAGAAAATTTATTTTCTGTCTGCTTTTAGGCTTTATTGCTCCATTTCTATCGTGCCATTTCTATTTTACAGCAAATGGAGCACGATTGTTTACTTTCGTTCGTAGATTCACAGCGGAACAGTTGGAAATGGTCGATTTCCGCGCAACATAAGACATAACAGAGAATGCTCCAAGTTATGAATGATTGCTCCCTTCTGTTATGAGTTCTTAAACGAGTGCATATTGTACCATTCACAAACGTTAGTATGGTTGATCTCTATATTTTCAAGTTCTCTCAAACTCTCCTTTGTTCCAGCACGTGGAAAATGTTACATCTGATAGATTATCCTATGGGTATCTCTATCAACAAATATAATCAAATGTAACGTCTATATAGCAATATATATATCCTTGTGCAACAGACTCTGGATCAATGTTTGCTAGACCTTGAACTCGGTATTTCAAAATAAACCCAATCGCCCGGCCTGAATCCACTTTAATATACTAAACGCAGAGAGTCGGCTCGCTCCTGTTTGCTTGATATCCGTAAATTATAGTTACTCGGAAAAGTACTCTAGTTAATAAGGACCCTCAAATAGAATCTTATATGTAACCCTAATGCTCTAATTAAATTCATTCCATCCGTCATCGCCTCCGAAAGTTGATTTCGTCAAGTGCTACTTGATAGCCTTCAGCTCTAGGAATCTCAATAGCGCTTCTCTGTGTTGTAGGCTCGGTGTAGGCGATGTTTTATATATATTCTGGTACAATTAGACCTGAAAGCAAAAAAGGAATTGTAGTTAAATGTCAGTCTAGTTGTTTAACTACTTCCCAATTCCTCATTTGAATATTTGAATTATAACAGTAAAAAGTTCCTCTTCAAGATAAAAACCGAATATTTCAACTAAAATACAGCTTAAGCTCTCTTTAAGAGTGAAATATGTAAACGTTATGGGCTCGTTCCCAAGTCTTTATCGTCCTTGATGCATACATATACCCACTGAAAGAAAAAAGTGAAGTCTTTCCACTAAGATATATTTCAGCTTATCTTAAGTGCTTTAACCCAGGGCTAGTTTGATCCCATTTTTTACGTAAGAGTTGTATAAATGTATTTTTACAATACTTTGTAAAGTTGAACTGAACCATAAACGAAAAGGGCACGCGTTATCTGATAACGCAAAACCTATATCATATATTTGTGGCTGTACATTTCTCTGCACATAACAGCTGAATCTCTAAAAAATGTGTTGAAGTGGATATGAACATCATTACTTTTTTAATGGAATTGTAGGCTGGTTATACGTCAAAACAATCACAACATTTGTTCCGAAATGCGAGCACAATAATAGCTCTATCAATACAGGCGTTAGGAATATCTCAAACAACCCTCATCCTGTTGATAAGAAGAACCAATTTTAGATAACATTTTTAACATTTAGCAATAATTGCCAGTACACAAGTAGAAAAGCCTCCAATTAGGAAGATGAGCATTCGTTTATCTCAGAGTTGAGTCATACGCGCATTTTCTACTTCCTCATCCGTTTAAATATCATTTTCGTTCGACTGATAGGGAAAGTATCAAATGCACAATTACATGAAAATTATATCTTCGTATTATTTGATCGGTATTTGCCTTTTTTTTTTTATATATGTCTAGTATTATTTATCCTTAAGTAAGTAAGTAAGTACACGTAAGTAAGTAAGGTATTTATTAGAGTCTCACGCTAGGCATGTTTTTTGTTGTCTTTATAACAGCATTTGGTTTATGCAGCTTTAACCAAGCTTTCAACGTCCTTCAGAAATCCACCAGACGTTACACGAATACCAACTCACCCAATATTTGTTTTCGTTTCAACAAAGTCAATCTCCCAAAGCGGTTTAACGTTTTGTAGATTTTAATCTATTCTAAAAAAAACTAGGAATTGATCACGTCGACACATAGGTCAGAAAGTGCCTCAGCTATTTTCTGAAAGGCTCTTTTAAATCAAGAGAATTAAAAAACATGCACAATTGCTTTAAAAAGAGCTTGGCCCTTTTTTACTTACTTTTCATACCCCAGCGCATTGTCTGTCTAGGTAATCAAACTTTGGTTGTGATATAGCCCAGTCGTTTACATAAAGTAATTTAGTTTACTAAAACAGTTGTTTCCTTGAGCAAGTCTTGTTTTGTGTGTAAAATTGTACATAAACTAATACATGAAACATAACAGCACTAAAACTAAAGCAACTGTGCCACTATTAGATTCTAATAATTCATGACAGGTTTTGAACAGAGGGCCTAGTAGATAAGACTAATGGAATGGATAAACAAGTAAGAAAAGTATTTAAATAACTAATGGAAATCAGGAAATAGAGGTACAATCTATGAAAATTTGTCCACTTTTAAATAGGAAGTAACTGAAGATTAAAAGAGAAATGAGAAAAATGTCCTTCAATTTACATGAATATCAATTAAGATAACGCGAAACAATGGATTCTTAGGACCCCGTCAAATGAAAACATGAACCGTTTGGTAATTAGGAGTAACGAAATGATGGACAGACAACGATTGAAGCATTTTTCGAATATACGAGTAGATGAGTTTTAGTGAATTTCGAATAGAATGTCACCATTAACCAGCAAATTGTCTTGTTTGGGAATGCGCCCCTTACGTTTGAACACGGGAATACATCTAGAGCTATTGCCTTATCCTGCCACAGAGTGTCGTCTTGAATATCATAGAATGATCGTTTTCCTATGCTTTTGTTCTTTGGTTTTTGGCATGTGTTAAACACTGAAATAAAATTCGCTAATCAAAATTGATCCAAAACGAGAAACACTGGGATTGTGTCAGCCAAGTTGAAAAGAAAGTTCATTCTTGAAAGCACAGTCCATATACAATAGTTTACACGTATCCTTAGTTAGAAAACAATGTCGCAGAGCATCAACTGGAAACGAAGACAATTGTCTTTGCTTCAACATGGCCGAACTTCCGGAAGCAAGATTTCGTAAGAATTTTTGTTTCTCAATTTAATCACGTTTACTCTTTAAAACTAAATATTTGCCACGTATGTAATTATGCGTAGATTTTGATTTCGAAATATGATCTCACTCAGAAATATATAGGGTATTTGTTTGAATATTTACAAATCGATTCGCTCGCTGAGGAAACGAAGACAGTTTCTAAAAGAAACGAAGACGGTACATGTATATGCTTTCTGAAGCATGAAGCAACGACAGCACATTTTAGATATTATCTGTCTTCGTATTTAAAGGATAAAAGCAATTAAATCGTGAAAAACAAAAAAAGTTACCAAATTCTGCTTCCGGAAGTTCGGCCATGTTGAAACAAAGAAAACTCGTCTTTTCAAGTTGATGTCCAGTAAATGTGTTCAGTCTACGTTCAGAATCTATGAAGTGTTACATGCTATGTATGAATGTTACATACTACGACGCGTACTTTAATCTAATTTCTGTCATTTTCGTATAATTACTGCAATCTGATTTCCGAATCAAATTGACAAGGTAATAGCTTGTAATTGGAATGTAATGATGTATTTTACTTACCAAACTATGGACTTAATAACTTACTCTTCCGATTATGTTGTTATTTAACTTGTTCGACATTAGTTGTTATGAAGAGGTCATGTAATCGAATATTGAATATGTGGGTGTGGCGCCCAAGTGTTCGGACTCTTGCCTTCATTCTGACGACCCAAGCATTCCGAGTTCACTGATTTTATCAGATCTGAAAATTCACAAGGGAATATGTCCCAAATTTAAATATATCTACAGGAAAAATATTTGGCCCAAAATGTTTGCCCTTTTTGAAAATGAAATAATGTTTGTTTTTAAATTGGCATAATATTTGTAATCCTCGGTATGCAGGAAATAAAGATACATATGTACACACGTGCCAGTCCGTCACAAACATTAGAAAATAGGGAGTTTAAGCTTGCGTATAAAATCTATACCAACCTATACGTTTGACCAATCGCCCATACAAAAGTATCACTTAAATATTTTCCGTTCACGATTAGGTTGTGAAAACATTTTAAACTTAAACTCCCTATTATGACAAACGCAAAATGTTATCCTACCGTACCGAACGAAGAGAAAAACTGAAAAACCATTTGCTCTATGTAATGCGATTTCCTCAAGCAGATGGCTTGGTTAAATTTTCCATACGTAACTTTCGAATATTCCTTAAATTCCCAGGTGTTACACACCATGACTTACTTTGATTATATTGGTATTTATCACTTTTGCGTTTAGTTCATAATTGAGAAGAAATCTGCACAATTTATGTTATGATGAAAGGCTAATTCAACTTGATAACACCTAACGATTAAAACAAATAGTTAATATTTATATCATCAGTATTTGGTATTTGCCATAACTAAACGTATGTGTTCCTAAGGCGGTTTACTTTAGTCTGGCGTCCAGGCTTTTTTCTTATTTTTTCCTTATACAAAATAACTATTTGAATAAAACAAGGTGGTCTACTCAACATAACCTACCCATCAATAAAACACAGGATCGACTACATGTCGAATAAAAAAATACAATGCAGGAAAAATAAGAACTACTGTTATACAGTCGCCTAGGTTCATCGCAAATCCCTTTTGGATATAATTGAAAAAAAGAAATTTCAAAAATTACCAAAATTATCATGGTATACGAGCCAGTCTAGTTTACTTTTGATTAATTTTAATGATTTATGATAGTATTGCTCTGTGGAACTCCACGCACATTCCAGGGATGGGTTTTACTCAGTTTGGGTCAGCTGACCCTCTCTTGGTTACATCAACATCAACTGAGTTAACATTTTCCTGCGATATTAACTGTATACGTTTATGGGAATTGACTGTGTGGGACTGTGGGCGGATGATAACGTACATCTATCTTTCTCAAAGCATCAATTTAGATTAGCCTTACTTGTGTTTTTGAAGTTTTGTTCAGATTTTATTTTCTTGTGGTTGATAATATTGATTATCTGATCCAATACAAAAATAGCATTCGACGTAAGCGTAAATCACGTGTTTTGAAATTGTTTCTGTAACCTTCGTTCAAACGTATGCTAATTGCGCCATTGCACTAAAAAGGCGAACGGAAACTAAAGATATACCTTAAGATCTCAACCATCTTCCCCTGGCATCAACTGAGCACAAATCCCGATAAATCGTATGTTTGTAAGGTGTCCGACAGCGAAGATAGATCTATGTCTAATATATCAACCTACAGACATGATAACTGCATGCCAGGAGGGCATGAGCTAAACTTGCACTAAATAAAGCAAATCATATTAGCCTGGGTGCTCCTCTGTTTATGTTTCCCTTGCTGTAATTACCTCTTGATAACTTGGCATGGAACACACATTTGAGGGAACTATTCGTAAGCTTAGTCCATCGTAGTCTTGTATCATTGCGAATTTGCAATGATCTATAGGAGCTCATTTTACCCGGGTCATTTTATCTCAATATCCAATGAACATTATTGAAATACGTTAACACAATCGTTTGACTTTTCGTAATTCAAATAAAAATAGTCTAAGTGATAAAATTAACACAGATATTAACATTTCAAACTTTGATACAATTTATAATTAGCTCAAAGTGCAACCGGTATGAAAAACATGCTTGCCCTTGATAACGAGCAAATCATTTTAGTATGAAATGCAAAAAGAAGCTTCAATTAATAAAATTAGCTTTTCTTTATATTCAAATGCGAATATCTGTACTGAAACATGTCCTAGAATATACATGTACTCGTATATAAAACGTGCAGAATTGTATTTACTTACCACAAACGTCAAGCAGTGTTGTTAGTAACTTGGTATCCTAGAACGTCTTGTTAGCTGATATTCAAACCATTTAATTTGGTTCCAACGTGCAAAATCTTTATCCCACTTTTTCTTGTCGGGTCGGATTTCACATTGTAAGTCACAAAAGTAAGGTTTTCTTTCTTATCTCGCCTTTGATGTTGGACTCAGTTTTATCGCCTTCCAATGTTACGGTGTGTTTCTGTAGTGAGGTGTAGTGAGAGTGGCAGTTGCTCGATGTTTTGACTTATTCTACAGCATTAGAAATCATCCAGACTATACCTTGTTTTCTTTTGAGGTCATAAGTAGTTGTTCCAGATGTGTATATCTAGCGAGAATGTGTTCCCCCTAGACGCAGAAATAATTGTTCATCAGATAACAGACTCTTGCAAAGACCCGAAGAATCCATCATGAGAGGACCACATCATAAATTGAAACAAACTACTATTTTTCTTTGTTTTCTACGGACTGCATCAGACTAAACCACGTCATCACATCTTATTTTTTCTCAGCCATGGGAATGCCATAATATTAGTGATCCAATTGAGCCCAATTTAAGCACCTTTGTTCAGCACATAGATCTACCCCTGTCTATTGAAGACATCCTCGTGAGTTTAGAAATCTAGGATCTGAGTATAGTTTATGAAATCTTGAAATTAAGGATTTCTGAAACACAACGTACTGAGGAATTCAAGGGGTAACTCTCATACATTTATACCTACCAATCCTGGGTATGTGCACTACAAATTATGCCATAGACAGAGGGCAATTGCCGAACACCGGATTCTATAGACAGGGAAGAATGAAGGAACAAAATGAATGGTGGGTTACAGGGGCAGATCTGAAATTAAATGCCCATTTTCTTGATAATTTGGCCCAGTAATGCCAAAAAGGCCAAATAATCGACACTGTAATTTTTATGCCCCAAAGAACTTTAGGCCCAATTTTTTCTTGGCCCATCTTAGGGGGGGGGGGGGGGGGCTCCGTGTAACCTACCAGTGGTTTGGCTATATGGAGCATTACATTTGGAAGGTATGGTAACTCTTGATCAGTATCTCAATACCTCAATACATCAACAACTCAATGTCAAACTAAGGTATAGTAGACGAAGCTATCTTTTATGAGAAGTTAGTCAGTTGTCATTTAATTAAGTTACCTCCTGGCCTCTTTAAATATCAGCAAGAATCAACATTAACACTAGACTGACTATAGCTACATTTCACAAGCGTATTTATGAAGTTTTAATCTTTTGGATCTGTGTCAGCTTGGTGAATCTACCCTTCATATTTCACACTACCAGAATCTCTGTGTGAAAGAAGGATGTTCAAATGTCTGAATATTCTCACGTTTTGTAAAGCAGGGTGTCAATAAAAAGTTCTTGTTTTGTCGATATACGTCAAATTATTTGAAAATACACTCCTAGTCATAATTATGGTATACATGTACTTTTAATCAATGTCTTACTAATTCTTTTTAACATAAATGGCCGTAAAGTGTTACCACAGGACCAATTAGAAAAATATCATATCTTATCCTATGAATATATGTATCCAATAAGAGCCAATGATGATGATATTATGGAGATCAGTGTGATATTTTTCAGAAAATCGTGTATCTGCCCCATACACGACTGATATCATTTATCCGCCGCATATCCGTACGAATTTGAATTTTAGATTTTTTGAATTTTTGATTGTAATCATGGGATGAACCCTTGATCAGATCATCTCTCGTGTTATTATTCTATCACCTCGTAGATATCGAATATCAGCCCTTCGATAAAAATGATATCACTCAAAACGATCCGATATTCTGTAACATGTAACATGTACGAATATATTCATAATATTACAATATATTCACCGTACCGTATATCGTATGGTACCAAACCATGCCATACTATACCATACCACACCACACCATACAATATCCACACTCTTAAAAATTATTACTTGGATTTCCTTATATTGAGAAATTGTACTACTCATTTTAAGTCAGAAATTACTTAAATAATCTTGAACTACTGAATAATTGAAATACTTACTGTAGTAATTGTAATACTCATTTACATAATTAAGCAATTAAAAAACTCAAAATGACAATATAAGTTAAACCTAAGTAAAATGAAGTAAAACTAAGTATTTAACTTTAAGTAATTTTTATACTTGGGAAATACTTGGGAAATACTCAAGTAATTCATTTTTAAGAGTGCATATCATACTGTACAATACCCGACCATACTTTACCATAACTATAACATACTCATAGCACACAATACCATAATATGTCATATTATGCAATTGTATTACCATGCTAGAGTATTCCATACATCCGACCCATCCGAACGGGGGTGTATATGTAGAAGGCGCCTTATTTGAAGACCAAATATTACATTTCCGACTCCAGTATCATAGAGTCCAATTAGTACTTTAATGAGAGTATAGTACCAATCTGCATTAACAAGGCTCCCCTGAGAGCAATTTGGCATTTTCTGTTGATAAGCTGCATTTAATGTGTTTGTTTTAGACTATTTTTTGCTTTGGAAATACTATACTTCGCTCCATGATCAATGTTACAAAAATCGTTTAGTTGGCCAACTGATGCTAAGTTAACCAGAAAATCGCAACATGTGCTTGTAAATCGAGCATGGATCCATCATAAGAAATATTCAAATATGTGATCCCCATGTTTGAAAGTCAACTACTGGCACAACCTAATGGTTAATTGGTTAATCTGGTAATTAGCCTTTCATTGAACGGCTTACAATATGAGGTTGACACGACAAATCTTTGCAGGTTTTCTCATTAAGGTAAAAGTAGAATTATTTATCTGGTCTAATAGCCTTTTAGTTTAATTACATCCATGCTGCCCACCTTAATACACAACAGTAGATTAGTTAATGGTTTTTAAAACTTCTCAAATCGAAATAAAAACTTGATGGGCTAGACAAGCATGTGTTCCATACCAAAACAAGTATGTTAGAACACATTAGACCAATTGATTGTTCGACTTTTTACACAGATTGATTCAAATTTTAGAACGCCTTATAATAAACTTTGAACCAATAATTTTGTTTTTCGAAATGATTTCCCAAAACCACAGCTATATCTAAATTGTCTGCGAAGTTATGCACCGATTCCCTGTAAATTCGATATCCAATCTTGGAAATCTTATCACACTGAATTGATATTTCATTGGAGCTGCACAAATCAAATAATATATCTCGCTGATTTAAGTGAGTAAATGTGTAATCAAGGCTGGTGAAAGATTACTGGATTATGATGGTAAGTACATCAATTCACCACACAACGAAAGGCTTATCCTGTACTGTACTTATACTATTGGGGAATTTGCAGAAATTCTATTTTCACTTTACAGTGTCGTAATTTCTAGAATTTGAATTTGAAATCGCAATCTTCTCCCTATATTTTAGACAATTACAACTCCTTCCGAATACACACTTTCGGAGACGGAGGGACATTTGAGGGCTTGGTGCAAGACTGACTACGTCAAGATAGAGGGTACTTTGTAAACTTGAGGGAATTAATGAACTTGCTGGAGTGGAATATCTCCTGTACTGGTTGAAGGGTAAATAGAGAAAACTATGGGAAGGGGTAACGGAGACTGAAATGGGAGATAAAGGAATTAATGAGGGATAGTGTTTGAAGAAATGTAGAAGGCGAAAGAAAAAGGGACGAAACCAGCAAACAATAAACAGTGGCGGATTTGTCATGGGGGGGGGGGTTAATATTTTCCGCTAATCTTTTTCGGAGCCAACTCTCGTCAGCACTCGTCATCTTGACATTGCAGAATGTAATTGATAGAGGTACTTTGATTAGGGCATAAATGAGGCGTATATCACATTGCAAAACCAAACATTGGCAACTGATGGGATCTATTTCTAAAAGAAGCTGGTATGTTGGGCAGGGTCGATAATTATAGCAGATACTCAAGTAACTGGGACTTATCTGAAGATGTCATCACTTAAACATATAATGTCAAGTTGTATTGGCATCATATTCTACGTTGTTATGGGGCACTCTGAACTTCTTGGGTTGCGGTGACGATTTGGTCATCTCGCTAGGCGTGTACAATATATTGCTAATGTCACAAAGAGGGATGAGGTAGATGTTGCGTGGTTAGGTTGTGAAATTTAAAGAGAGGGGTATCTTCAGACAAAAGGTTTAACATTTAAATATATTTGAAACAACTTTATTAAAAGGGTAATTTTAGACGAAATGCAAGATTTGCTTATGTTTTAATTATTATACAAAGTTAAACCCCACTTTGGTAGCAACACAATAGAATGAACTGTAGTTTATTTTAATGTGTCTACAGTTGTAACAAAAGAGGAGTACATTTTCTATTGTTTTTAACGCTTTTTGGTGAGCTATCAAAAACAGTGTGGCACAAACGATGATCTACTGATCTTGATAATTTCAATCATTTAAAACCAATGTACAAATGTACATGTACATGTACTCTTTTTTATTACTTTTTTATTACCTAGGACCTCTGGTATAATATGGTTTATCCATTACATAATTAACAATTATTATGCTGCTATGCTATCTGGATACTGCAAATGTACCTGATCAATGTTCCAAATTATGAATATTCCAAAATTTCAAGTTGCAATGAAATTTTATAAAAGGGTGGATTAATTTCACATATTTTATCGAATGTTTATTTCACAATCCTCCGCTGTTGTACTGTAGACAAATTTCCGAATGCAGATCCTAACAATCAATTTGTCTGATCATGAGACATTTCCTCCTAATCTCAATATGCAGTCAGGTCATTCGATAGCAAAGAACATGCGCCACATGCCGGGTTTAATAGTAAAAAGATGTTACCCCCGCTGACATGCATTTCAACAGGGGGGCTAATTTAAAACATAGAGTAGAAAACAAGAACGCTCACAGCTGACTAACAACATACTTTCAAGCGGAATCCGTATCCTGGAATAAAACATTTCTCAAGTATGTTCAATCGTTAGACTCAGCGTCTGAGAAAGATATAGCCTAGCAAAATACCTGTTTTGTTTGCTTAGGCAAGGTCGTTTGTACAATGTATGTTTTAGGTCATTTGATGCTCCAATTAGAAACTACATCAACTATGCAGGTCCTAATAAATTCTGATTTTTGCTTCCTAATTTGCTATAGTCCGTTTAATTTCGTCCATGATATATATTTTAATATATCAAATGTCTATACTACCCCTGGTTAGGAAAAGTGTTGATATGGTGATAGGGATATTAAATCAACTGCTTTAAACGATATGCTATTAAATAACTATCTGAATTAAGATATAAGAATAAAAGCTAACAATAAAATGAGTTTAATGTAGATCAGAAACAAGTAGTGTTAAATCAACGAGTATCAGAACGATAAGCAGATGGGACGTCCAGCGACATCTTTCAAAAAACAATTCGAATAATAAACTATTGCATGACGAAGGTGAAGTAAAATAACCAGAGGTAGACAATGCAATAGTCTCACCAAACTTTACCTCATAATAGTATTAATTCAGGCGTTTCTTCATCCTGAGACTAACACAAAAGGTATTAGTCTAAGCTTCAACTGAAGCTGACTGGAAACGAAGTCCTGTGGTATAATTATTCCCCATTTACTTAAAGTGCAACCATTTGGATTTGACTC